ATCAAAATGTGCGGTGATAAATTTTCCTTAAAATTAGGTATGCACTCGAGTATGACTACTTTGACTCCTAGAATACAAAGAATTGTGATTAGAGAGTTCCAGATGCGTTAAAAAATGCTTTATAAGTTTATAAGGAGCTGCAAATGCTTGAAAACTGGAAAAACAATTAATTTTCCCAAAACTGTACTTTGATTCGCGTTAAGCGAAAGTATCCCAACTTTGCTTAACCCCTGCCAACTAGGGGCTTCAATCCTTCTCCAGTTGCTTTTCCTGCATCCCTTCTAGCTTCTAGGTTGTTGCCAGTGTGTAAAAAGTGATTTGCAAGATACGAATCATTAGAGAATATGATTAGGAGTTAGGACATGATCTAAATACCTTTAAATATAAATGGAGACAGAATTAAATTTAGTAAACTGATCATTGATCTCTTTTATCTCCATCTTAATTAATAAACACATGAGCTCAACTATCATGAACAAAAATTCATGAAGTGCAATTGATGCAAGACAGCGGCTACGATTAAATGCCTTTCAGCAGACAGAGATGATCCACGTGGAATTAAAAGTGTATTTACTTGTATTATCTCTCTCCACAAGGCCACTTTAGTTTTAAGTCCTTGTAATGCATCTCTGACATATACAGATTTGTTGCGTAATGTATCGAAAATGTGCTAAGGATACGGGCTTTTTTCTGTTACCTGTAATTAACCAGTATTCTCAAAGCTGTCTGTCTTTAAATGCTATTACCTCCTCCCAAGATGTGATAGAAACGCCTATCTTTCAGATATCATTGCAAAGTGCGGCAATAAAGCTTTGTAGCAAACTTCTATCCTATGCTTAAATTTCTCTTTAGATGCTCCTCATTTGTCCTCTCTACCTTTCAAGAGATAATGGCTGTATGATGCAAGTTTTTCAATAAATTGTCGTTCATTACCAGTAACCCGGTTGAAATTAGAGCGTATTATTCATACAGGAGGGAACGCATAGCTCAGAGTTCAGGACTCGTTTGAGGTTTTGAAGGGTTATCAATTTACAGACCAACCTATTTTGTCGATAGCTCTACATCTCTGTAAAGAGATGGCTGCACCATTCATGTAAAGTTTCAAATCCAACGTTAATGCATTGACTTATTTGACCTCTTAAAGAAAACAGGGCAAGCACAATTTCTTTTGTGGTCGAGGGCGGCCAAATGTCTGAAATTTCTGTTTTTCTTACTCGTTTGCTAAAATTGGCTGCAAAATTGTTCTCTTTGGGACATCTAGCAGCGACAACGCGGCAAGAAGATTGTACGAGCTTTCTCATGTGCCGGAAATCCGAATGTGCACCAAGTGGATATGGTAGCAAGCAGAAACATTCCGCAATGACGTGATATTTCTAACGAGCTGTGTTTTGTCTATGCAAATTGACACAGAAACGTGTTCATCCTTTCATGCGAACCAGGGTTGATACTTTGAATCGTGATAAAGCTTCTCGTCTGACACACTTCAGAGTATTAAATGTTAGAACACAGGTCGAAAACATTTGAAATTTTGTACCACCAAAAGATTGCTTGCAAATACTCAATGCTCAAAAAGTTAGTCAATCAAGTGTTAAAAAGCAAGCAATAGCATGACTTCACATCATTACATGAGCAATTCAGACACTGGTCCATTTGGATGAAATCAATGCCACCTCAGGTGTCTGTCTGGTTCAAGGCATATTATGGACATCCATGCTATGTTTTATGGGGTTTTAATCTCATTTTCAAACATTACTTGTTAACTCTTGCTACTGTTTTCGTGCTCCTTACAAAAATAGCCTTAGTGTCAAAACGAGGCTAACATAGAACGACGCTTTGTTGGTTTTGGCCTAAGTCGTTATCTCTCTAAAATATACCCTCCAACATTTTTGAATGACAGATCGTTTTTCGAGAATGCTGTCTCCCTTGGCGGCCCTAAACATACATACATAATGCACTATAAACCAGTACTGCTTAAAAAACTAGATAATAAAACCATAAAAAACAAATGACGAAATCAAAACTGCTTGCGATTTATATATCTAATTTCAAGAGAGTAACAATTAGCCAAAGTTTCAATTGAAATCTGCCAAAAATTGTTGGTTTTCATTTGTATTTCCCACCAAAGAAGACGATGAAACTGAGCAGGAAAAGTAAACTGGAGAGAGAAGATAAAAAACACATAATTTGCACTTAAACCATTTTTTTTCTTTATTAAGCTGAAGAAGTTACAGGTCCTTGTAGAGCTTTTTGGGATGACTTGTCAACTGTAATCGTAAAAACTCTTGTGTCACAGGCTGCTTTCAAATCGAGTCACTAATGAATTTTACTGCTAGTACCTTTTTGCAAAAAGCTCTATCTGTTTTTGCAGCGAAAGTAAAGGGCGTGGTCAGCTAAGATTTCTTAAAAGCCTTAATTTCCTGCTAAAAAGCCTTATTTTCATCAAAATGTGCGGTGATAAATTTTCCTTAAAATTAGGTATGCACTCGAGTATGACTACTTTGACTCCTAGAATACAAAGAATTGTGATTAGAGAGTTCCAGATGCGTTAAAAAATGCTTTATAAGTTTATAAGGAGCTGCAAATGCTTGAAAACTGGAAAAACAATTAATTTTCCCAAAACTGTACTTTGATTCGCGTTAAGCGAAAGTATCCCAACTTTGCTTAACCCCTGCCAACTAGGGGCTTCAATCCTTCTCCAGTTGCTTTTCCTGCATCCCTTCTAGCTTCTAGGTTGTTGCCAGTGTGTAAAAAGTGATTTGCAAGATACGAATCATTAGAGAATATGATTAGGAGTTAGGACATGATCTAAATACCTTTAAATATAAATGGAGACAGAATTAAATTTAGTAAACTGATCATTGATCTCTTTTATCTCCATCTTAATTAATAAACACATGAGCTCAACTATCATGAACAAAAATTCATGAAGTGCAATTGATGCAAGACAGCGGCTACGATTAAATGCCTTTCAGCAGACAGAGATGATCCACGTGGAATTAAAAGTGTATTTACTTGTATTATCTCTCTCCACAAGGCCACTTTAGTTTTAAGTCCTTGTAATGCATCTCTGACATATACAGATTTGTTGCGTAATGTATCGAAAATGTGCTAAGGATACGGGCTTTTTTCTGTTACCTGTAATTAACCAGTATTCTCAAAGCTGTCTGTCTTTAAATGCTATTACCTCCTCCCAAGATGTGATAGAAACGCCTATCTTTCAGATATCATTGCAAAGTGCGGCAATAAAGCTTTGTAGCAAACTTCTATCCTATGCTTAAATTTCTCTTTAGATGCTCCTCATTTGTCCTCTCTACCTTTCAAGAGATAATGGCTGTATGATGCAAGTTTTTCAATAAATTGTCGTTCATTACCAGTAACCCGGTTGAAATTAGAGCGTATTATTCATACAGGAGGGAACGCATAGCTCAGAGTTCAGGACTCGTTTGAGGTTTTGAAGGGTTATCAATTTACAGACCAACCTATTTTGTCGATAGCTCTACATCTCTGTAAAGAGATGGCTGCACCATTCATGTAAAGTTTCAAATCCAACGTTAATGCATTGACTTATTTGACCTCTTAAAGAAAACAGGGCAAGCACAATTTCTTTTGTGGTCGAGGGCGGCCAAATGTCTGAAATTTCTGTTTTTCTTACTCGTTTGCTAAAATTGGCTGCAAAATTGTTCTCTTTGGGACATCTAGCAGCGACAACGCGGCAAGAAGATTGTACGAGCTTTCTCATGTGCCGGAAATCCGAATGTGCACCAAGTGGATATGGTAGCAAGCAGAAACATTCCGCAATGACGTGATATTTCTAACGAGCTGTGTTTTGTCTATGCAAATTGACACAGAAACGTGTTCATCCTTTCATGCGAACCAGGGTTGATACTTTGAATCGTGATAAAGCTTCTCGTCTGACACACTTCAGAGTATTAAATGTTAGAACACAGGTCGAAAACATTTGAAATTTTGTACCACCAAAAGATTGCTTGCAAATACTCAATGCTCAAAAAGTTAGTCAATCAAGTGTTAAAAAGCAAGCAATAGCATGACTTCACATCATTACATGAGCAATTCAGACACTGGTCCATTTGGATGAAATCAATGCCACCTCAGGTGTCTGTCTGGTTCAAGGCATATTATGGACATCCATGCTATGTTTTATGGGGTTTTAATCTCATTTTCAAACATTACTTGTGGAGGCCAAAAAATAGCCAAAATAAGGCCGGAAGCCAGTTGGCAACCCTACTCAGAACGTCGAAGTTGGCGAGGAAATATAGTTTAGGAATGTTTCATTATGTACAGATTTTCAGGTTTCAGATATTTTCTACATGGACTCCAGCGGCCTCGGCGATGCTAAAATTCTACTGGACTCGGCGATGCAAAAATGGCAGGCATCGAAAATTCCATGGTCAAAAAGAATCATCGCTGCTTTGGCGAAAACTGAAAATAACCAGCTTATACATCTTTGTGTCACACATTATTCTTTGACGAACCTGCCAAATTTGAAAACTGGTCCATTATTTTAAAAAAAGGTCAATGTGACGTGTAAATGAGGTTTTTGTGAAGATTCAAAGGATTAGCCGTAACCATGATGTTAATTCTGTGGATGAAAAAATTTCGACTCAATTCCATGTTGCCAGAAACAAGCAAATAGAAAAAGATCGCAGAAACCTTCGAAATATTCAGCCCATTTTCCATGACGCCATGTAACTGTGGTTGCAGTTGCACCTGTTTGGGTGGCTCAGTTAAGAATTTTTACCTTTGGTCAACGAAATGTTATCGATAACTGTAAGTTATCCTAAAATCCACTGCAAAGACCCAACTGTCAGTGTCGTGGCTACGAAATAAATAGTTTTGTATTCGGAAATAGGTGTTTTATCCTCAAAAAGTTTTTTTCCTTAAAATGGTAGTTATTTAAATGGATTTTTAAAATATGCGATAAATCTTTATGCTAGTAAACGTAAGTTCAAAAGCAGCAACGAAGATATTAATGCATAGAGCAATGTTACAATCATTACATTCATCCAATTAAAATCTCAAATATATTTATAAATTCATAACGAGCATGACAGCTGAAAATTACTCAAGATAATGTAAAATAACGATTGGCTATAAACGGAGAGCTTTTGACATATTACAAAGAATTTGATGACTACATATGATACACAAAATTTAACTTGATTTTTTCATTGTTCAAGAAGCAGTGGAAATTCTGCTTATTCGCAGTCAACATTTCAATAATGAAAGAATTCGATAAGGCTTTTAAAAATCGAAGAAGAACCATAAAAATAGCAACACAGTGGAAATTGTTTGCCGGAGTCCAAACTTATAATATTTCATACTGAATTCGTAGCTTTCAGGCGAAGTATAACTGGACTTTTATGACAGAGAAACGTTCAAAATTGAAAAAATTTAAAGTAGAATACAAATGGAAATAATTTAACTGCGTACGAGAGTTAAGGCTTTACAGACCTAAGCATTGTTTAAAAGAAAATGTACGGGAAATAAATTATATTCGTCTATCCGTTAACATCTTAAAATCGAAAACTAGCACAAGAAGAAAAAACCACGTGATTATTGAAAAACACAGAAAACCAAAAATAACAAATAGGTCCAACATTAAATGAAACAAACAGAGGACGACCATATAAAAGATGGAGAGATAACATCAAAGCATGGACAGAACTCGACACAATTTCCCTGAACACCCTCGTTAAAGATAGAGAACTGTGGAAGCAGCTATCACACGTTAGTGCGTATTCTGCCGCAGCCAGAGACAGCGATTGACGATGATGATGAATGAAACAAAGAGACAGTATGTAAGAGGGAATTTCCACGAACGAATCTGCGCCGAGCTAGACTAGTCAAACATTCATACACTAGGGGCCATTTACGAACTATTTGCTTTTTAATTAAACCGTAAACTGAAGAGATGGCTCATTGCAAATTGTTGCCTATCAGAGATTAAGTGTCCTAGTAACGCTGACATAGATACCACAAGTCTCGTGGCGGGTTTATTCTAAACGTAAAAATACTGTAGATATATTCAAACATCACCTAACTAGATGCAAAGAACAACTTATATATCAATCACAAAATTTTACAGATTTTTTTGTTAAAGAGGTCCCTTCTTTTCAGCACAGAGCTTGCACACTCTAACCGGGTAATCCCAACCTCTGGACGGCACAGGCAGCCTCTCTTGAGAGCAGCTATCACAAAAGCCTTGCCCGCATGATCGGCAATGATGCTTAGAGGCTGATGCCTTGAAAGTTTCTCCGCAACAAAAGCAGGCTTTGATTTCAGAGTCTGGAACCCAATAAGATGGCCTGGCCAACACGTCAACGACATATTCTTTAGGGTACTCCAAAGTGCTTGAGATGAATGAAACCGTGGACTGCAGACTCTCTGTCAGCTTGCGATTGGTGAGAACTTCGGGAGGATACTGAACAGGGATATTTTCACTTGTCTTCACGGCTACCAGCTCTCCAGTTTCTAACTCGGGGTCATCGTTGATTGCTTCCATTAGAGCACTGAAGTGAAAAATCCGGTTGACATTAAACCTACTGGATAGGACCAGTGTATAGCAGCATGCCTCTTTAAAGGCTTTACGGAGTATGGAAATACGAAATAAAGGAAAAGAAAAAACTAATAACAAGCTGCAACTGTAATCAAGAACTAACAGACTGCTAGCAATCTGATTGTGAGAATTAGAGTAAAACTGAAAGCTGATAAGTAACTAAAATATCTCATTTTAATAAACAATCCTCCTTATCTACAGAGGTACATTTTGCTCAGCTGAAATATTTTATCGTTTTAGGAAAGTGCATTTTATTAAGATTTGAAGGACAATAAAGATTTCTTGATAATCACACAGATGTTTATAACAACACAGTGACAGATTGGTTACCTGCTATTTCATTAAATTAGCCCAATAGCATCAACAAGGGCTTTTATTGAGAAAGGGATGATTTCAGGAATGCAGAACAGAGGTCTTACCACACAATCAAGTATGAATACTTTATGAAAGAGTGAGAATCTGAACGTGCGTCAAATGAAACGCAAAACAAACAGGGCAGCAAAGCTTACTTACTTCAAATCTAAAGACTTTTCCTTTAGAAACAGCTTATTGACAGCCTCGTACTTCTTAGCACATTCATCACACACCCTAACAGGCTCATCACCCCAGCCTCGTTCTGGTACAGGAACTCGTTTTGTTGTACATTCGTCACAAAAACCTTGTCCACAAGCACGGCAGTGGTGTTTCTTGTCGAATTCACCGAAGTCTTTGCCACAGCTGAAACATTCCTAAGAAAAAAACCAAAGGTCTTTGAAATCTAAAATCCAAACCAAAAAAATCCACATAATTTGCTGCCATGATGATTAACAGGGCTGCTCTTGATTGGCTAGACTCTGTTCAATGACGCCAAGACTGCACATGTTCATTTGCGAGCAGCACGTGGGCATGCTGAGAACTTGCTAAACTTTTTCGACATGAGTCAAATGATCTTTTCAGACAATAAATGCAAAAGAGATAATTTATAACTATAACGCTCGACTTACCAGAATCTGATAGTTAGGAACCCAATACGATGGCGCAACCTTATCGGTCACCCAGTTCGACACTACCTTCGTTGGTTTCGCGCCTACATGACCTATCTTTTCAGCAAACGTGTGCATGCCATCGATAATTCGACGAACCGCATTATGACTGCCCTGCATGATGCGTGTCTAGAACAGCAAGGTAATTAAGAGCGAGAGCGACAAATCGTTCAACAGATCAGCAAACGCAAGCGCACAGGCCTGGGATTCGTTCATCTTCCCCGTATCATTGCAACACAAGAAAAATATATACCCAAAATTGTATCCACATTTCATTGTTATTTCATTCTTTATCAAACTACTTTCAAGAACTTAAACATGTTTTATTACTTTGATCGCGTTATAAAGAGAGTCAAATTAATAAATAAGTCACTAAAACACAACAATTAAAAGTAACTATATTATTCTAAGGTAAGTTCATACCCCTGGCCAAACATGCCGAATCTCTGCCCTCACAGCAGTCTCCATAGGGTCCCTATTCCCATACCAAAACTGTCTACTTCGGTATATGACACCGCATTCCGGGCATTCGAGGACGTAGCTGCAAAATATCAGTCAAAAAGACAATTCATCTTATGGATACTCTTTCTGAAAACTATCAATCAAATTTGTATGTACAAAGGTAGAAGTTTACATGACGTGAAGTTTGACGTACATGACGTGAAGTTTGAACAATCTCTTTTAGAAAGTTTCTCTGGAATTTCCACGGAAGTTCTAACTCAGAACCAGGTCACAATTAATCAACTATATAAGGAGATAGGTATGCTTCAAAAATAAAGCGTAGATTGTTTAACTAGAAAAAATTATTTTTGGAAATATTATCAATATTTTGGGAAAAAAAGAATTTCGAAGCCAGCAAACTAATAAAAACCTTGATATTTTAGGCGTTTATTGAATACAGCGATAAAGAATAAAGTTTTGCTGGTACGGAAATGCAATGCATGTTCGTGCTGCAGTCTTTCTATACCACAAAACTTTGGACGTAAAACATATTTAACTTTGAAACGACATTGCAAATATGAGTTACAATTATTTCTCGAAAACATAACATACCCCGCCCATGCATATTTCGCAAGCCCGTACCAAGCGGAGTCAGCCGACTCTGATGTCTTTGGAATAACGACAGACTCGACTCCTCTTTCGTAACACACCTTGAATAAAAAAAAATTCATGAATTTCTGTAAGTGCATTATGAAAAATGAAGATACCTGCCGGAGCATCGATTAGGTTTCAACATAAATCATAATTTACATATCAGTCAGGGGTGTAGTGCTAGGGGGGCTCAATGGGGCTCAGCCCCCTTGTTGATGCCAAAAATTGGTAAATTTCTACTTTTGCTATTATTTTTCGCAATATCTTGTGCAAGAGCCCCCTTGTTATTTTAATAGCACTACACCACTGATATCATTTGAGTGCGTGTGCGGTAAACAATGATTGAATATATAAAAAATGATCATATTATAATTTTAAAGTACAAAACTATAATAATGATATTACAATTATTTTATCATATTCAGGGTTATAGAATTGTATTTATTAAGATAATTTTTATAAATCGTAATCGTTTGTGATTCCAAATGAACCTGAAACTAACCCTAGTCCTCGATGAAATGCAGGAGGGTGCCTTGGCTATATCACAACTTTGAACATTCTATTGCAATTTCTAGAATGATCTGTAGTAGTGACCCCAGAGCGTTGGTCTCATACATAAATCATGTATTTTTTCTTGAAAACTTTACATTTATCTCAAAAAGTCAAAAACTCATTTGGCACATATAAAACGATAAAACTTGTGACACAAGGTTGAAAGTATTAACTTCATAGCATTGAGACAATTTCTATAATTTCAAAACGTCTTGGTTAATAACTTTCAATATTGAGTTTCAATATCGTACTTCCAATTTTTATCAGGCGCAAGAATAGAATTCACTTTTCCAAGCGTGGTTTACATGAGGCTGGAAAATTTTAGAAAAGAGGGCGATTTTTACCCGCGTTGGCATTCAGCCTTCGAGTAATAAGCGATTTTACTGACCACAACCATAATCTTTGCATATTCTGTTACTGTCCGCGTATGCATAAAACGCACATATGCCAAAAAAACTACGTTGTAATTTCAAGATTTACGATTTTACTGACCATAAATTATTTTTATGCATAAAAGAGCCAGAAATACAGAAAGACCCCAAAATTAATCTGCTAATCGATGTTTTGAATGAAACATTATAAAATGAGATGAAAATGACGAAGTTCTTAGATGTTTCCCTATAACAAAATATTTTGCACAGCAATCACAACATTACACGAAACCGTTTACAGTAAAAAATTTCCAGAAAATTGTGCGCTGTAGAGACTTTTTAAAACTGTCAAGATGATGTTGTTGGCAAAAATATGTGATCGGTCCTCCTTTCAAGCGTTTACGGGATATATATTTATATTATCAGGATATATATCTATCAATCACTTCTTATTAAAACTGCTTTATTTTCTAAAATCTCTGGGTGCAAGTTGCTATAGGCTGTGCTAAGAAAGCATGACAGAAACTCTTTGAGACTGAAACTCACCCTGCAGAGAAAAACTCGATTGTCGAATTGAGCTTGATACTTGCATCTAGGATTTGAGCTGTGCTTCTGTCCATCTCTCTCGTGGCTCATGCTACGTTCGCATCTTGAACTAAAACATGGGAACATTAAACTCTCGTTGTGCATTTTACGAGCTTCATTCGATTTCTAGCTTCTTCTTTATTTATCTATTTATCTATTTATTTATTTATTTATTTATTTATTTATTTATTTATTTATTTATTTATTTATTTATTTATTTATTTATTTATTTATTTATTTATTTATTTATTTATTTATTTATTTATTTATTTATTTATTTATTTATTTATTTATTTATTTAAAGTTGGTACAATTTCTAGCTATGCATACAAGCTAATTAAAACCAACTAATTTAAATTACCAACGCTAAATATAATATAAATCAAATATAACCGATGTTGCTAACATATTCCTTGCAAAGATTACAAGTACAATTAAATGATGTAAATTCTGAGATTTTTTTCTTGAATATTGATAAAGTAGGGGAACACTTTATCTCATTTGGAACTGAGTTCTATATTTGGCTACATCTGTATGATACGGTATTAAATCCATATATTTTGTAATGTGGCACCGCTGTTTTGAATTGGGAGTTTCTTAAGTAATAAGGGCATTCATTTATGGAAAATATTTCATCCATAAAAGGTGGTTTTGTAAATTTCTATTGCAAGATATTGTAAATTTTTTTTATGAGAAGTTATTGTTTTATTCTTTACTAAAAGTTGTTCAAAAGTTGATTCATAATCATCATGAGCTATTCTCATTGCTCTTTCATGAATCCGGTTTATCCTGCTATTACTTTTCCTACTGCAAAATATGCAAATAAGAGGACAGTAATTAAAATATAATAATATGAACGTTTTCATTAAAAGAATTCGCTTAAATTCATCCATATACAAAGCAATCCTGGCTAGAGCCTTTACCTTTTTCCCAGCTTCTTTACAAAAAACTTTAATGTGTTCTTCTAATCGAAGTTGATGGTCTAGTGTTACTCCCAAAAGTTTAACATTCTTACTTTCTATTATAGTAGAACCATTTATTTGAATTTTAGATTCCTCTAAATTTGATCAATTGAAGCTCCGTGTGCTTCAATTATAGTCAAACTAATATACAAATTTCTTATAAAAGCAAGACAATTTAAAAACTTTCTGCATCTTTATCGAACACTGTCCAAGATTTAAAGTTCTCAGTTGTTATTTATTGGTTCTGAGCCTGCTATCTTAGATACAGCAATTAATAACTGAATTATGGTAAAATGTGCAGAGTAAACATAATTAGAATTATTACAATAAATCATGGCATCCTTTGTCCAGTGTCTACCGGAGATGTCAAAAGCATTTTAGGATTGAAGGGGGGGGGCAATATCTCAGAGGTACTTTTCCAAGAGGCAGTTTATCAAAAAGGTTACTTCTTAGAAAAGGGTACTGGCAAGTGTCCCTGGTGACCCCCTGTTCTGACATCCCTGCTTTCTACTTAGCACCCCCACTGAAGTCAGTTTTATCTTGTATAGCTGCTTTTTTGTTTTTTTTATCATCAAGTTTTAAATTGCTTTTCTTTTTTCTAAGTATAGCATCTCAGGTATATAATGCAAAAAAAGCATTACAAACTTACTTGCAAGATTGGCATTTTGCTGAGCAAGTGAAATATTCATCTGGGAAACTACTTGGGATGGCATGATCAATATCACCAGCAAACTTCTCATTCAGCAACTGAAACAGAAAGCCAAATATCTATCATTATCTTGAATATAACACAACAGAAATTGGTTTACAATGTTTATGAAATTGGATGATCCATAAAATAATCAAAGCACTCTAAAGTCATTAAGAATAAAGGGATTTCATGATAACATTAGTAGATATCTACTTAACAACAAGTTGTGAAGTAAAAAGTCACAAAATCATACTGAAAACATGTCTCAAACAAATGACCTGACAAACATGAACTGAAATTTTAATGTTTCAAAGCAAAGAATCAGGAAATTACAACATACTTACAGGAATTTGACTTAATCCTGTCATTGACGTTTCAAAAATATTGAAAGCAAATTATAAATTTATGTTCACTGTTTAAATTACGGCAAAGCACAGTGTGCTGCGGAAGCCTCTTGAGCTTTATTGTATGAGCTTTTATTGTTAAAATGGCTTTGAAAAAAGCAAACATTATGAGTCAGACTTAGCTTTTCATCTTACACTCTTCAGAATATAAAACGTCAGAAAATAGATCAAAAATAAATATGCCCAATAGTGGATTGAAAAGGCCAGTCAGAAAACCCAAGCACAAGACTGTTGAGGTTGCCCAATCAGTGCCGCTTACCTATTGAAAATGTTAAAAATGGAGTCCTAAGGTGAAACCAAACTATTTATGTCTACACAAAAGCAGTTTTTCATGTTTATGTAGATAGATTTCAAAACTGCTAGATGGAACGAGGATCGGGCTTTGTCAATAATCCCAAACATTGCGTCGGTATAGTTTTTTGACAATCTGGGTTTTCTAGTAAATTCTGCCTGATAGTGGAATTGCATATTTAACTTTCTGTTTTTGATCTGCAAGACCAAGGAGGCTGTTCTCCTTGGGGAGAGTTTTGTTCCTAATGCTATCACGAACATGCTGCTTTATTCTATCCCCAACCTTTGGGTAGTTCGTCCTATGTAGCCAAAGCCATTTTTAAGTTTTGTACCACCATAAAATCGCTCACAAATTTTCTAACTTTATTGTATCATTCATTCCTTTGACACATTTTTATGTTTCTACAATTTGAAAATTTCCTCTTTCAATTGCCTTATTTCTTTCAATTGCAAGTAAGTAAAAAGGTACAAGAAATACTTACCACAAGAGCGTTGTAGATGACAGGTAAAGATCTTGCTGATCTGACAGAAGTATTTCTCAAATGCATCTCAACTGACTGCAACAAACCAGTAAAATCTGTGGGAGGTGTAACTGTCTGAGTACCAAGATATGTCATGGAGCTAAAAGCATGGGGATCTCTGTTGACATTATCAAAATTTTCTCGTAAAATATCCTCAGGAGAACGAATTGATCTGCAAAGGAATGCGGAGTTCACATAATTTACCCCCTCAATAAATTTATGAGAAAATATACTTGAATAAATAGATGAGAAATATTGGTGAAGTATGAGATACCGCCTTAGACACTAAGGCTTTCCGGTAAAGGCTGGCTACTATAGCTAGCCCAATATCTTATTAGTTAGATCACAACAACTTTTCTATTAGAGCCTGTGATGAAACTTCTAGTCACACTGTTTATATCTTGATTTGAGTCACTCAAATTCAGGGCCAATGCCACAAATTTGGAGGGGGGGGGGTAAGGCTAACAAAAGTGGAGGGCCAAGGCTTTTTATCACCATTCATTGCAGATTTGAAATTATTTGCTTTGTTGGGAGGGCCATGGCCACCTAAGGCATGGGCCCTGAAATTTGGTTTGTTCTGTCCATTTTGCAAATAGTTTATTTGTGTAAAGCAGAAATTTATCCAAATACTTACATCTCTCCATTGGTATGTACTTCTTCTCCGAGTGGCTTTGTATAATGTGTTTCTTGGAAAATTATAACTGCAGGGCCTAGACTACAAAGTGAAAGATCTGTTTTTATCCTCTCTTTAACATTTTTTAAATCCTTGCTGAAATGCTTAGAGTATGCCTCTGATGCATCACCAATAAATGTAAACAATCCATATGAAGTCTCTCAGCTCTAGTCCTATAAATAACAACATCAGATAAAGCTAGAATTTTCAAAAGCAGTCTCATACGCTTGTTCACATTTTCTGAGATACCCAATAATCCTTCAGTGTCAACGATGAGTGCATTATGAGTTTTATCAAATGATGCCCAGACACCAACTGTACAAGACTCTTGTGAAGAAGAGGTGCTGAATATTTCCTTTCCCTTGAAGAAGGTGTGGTTCAGTGTATGCGATTTACCATCTCCAGTATTTCCAAAAATTGACACAACTTTCACCCGTACATTAGCTTCACATTTCAATTTTCTAACAAATTCATCTGCTGAATGCACCTAAACAAGAAAAGAAAATATTCAGAAAAATTTTTAACTTTCTCAATTTGTTTAAAAAAAATATCATCAGGCTGAAATTTTCTCAAAAAACTTGAACGACATAAAAAACAAGTAGCAAATAAGAAACACCGTAGAATAAACAACAATAAATACACGTAAATCAGTGAAGGCTGATATTTCACCCCGGCACACGGGGCTTCATCAGAGTTCTGATTGAAAAATGCGGGCGTTAGATACGGGCCTCAAAAATTGAAAAATGAGGGGATAGCAACAGAAGAACAGGAAGCAATAAGCAAAATAGCATTAATTTCCTTTATCAAGCACATGTTATGTCCAGACACTACTAAGCAAATGCCTGACACTACTAAACAAATGCCTGTTATTTCTTTATGGTCTTTAGCAATAAGGTGATTATTAAAGAAATTTTTATATGAAATTCTACTACAGATTTTCCAAGGGTTTCAAAAGCAAAATCTGAAGTTCATATAGTTTCATCTTAGATAACTATATAAGTTTCATCATATAATGCTTTCTTATACTTCTGCCTTCATTGTTAATCAACACATTCAGTACTGAAGGTCATGTTGTGTTCAATATACTGTCAACAAATCTTTCAGCAGAGTCTGGTAAAAAAGAGATATATACACTTTGTTCTTTAAGTGCCAAGCCAAATATTTTCTTTGGGTGTTATTCAAAAATGGGTAAGTCCACTATAAGCAATAGATCTTGAAGGAAAATTGTTGGGAAGAAGAATGTATGGATAATTTGGGGGGCTGAGAAAGATTCGATATCTACCTGGAGCTTCTCGCTTCCATCCACCAAAAGAAAGCTTTCCTCTGTAGAAGTTTGAACAGTTTCTTTTGTTGCTATGTCTTCATCATCATTTAGACTAAAATCAATCAACTGCTCCTCCAGAAATCCATTTGGTTTCGCATCTCCAGCTTTTGAGGTGGACAGGTCCTTTGTGCGATGTTTCTTCTTACTCTTCGACATTGCCCCACTATGCATCACACTTTCACAATCTTTGCAGATACCAATACCACCGCAATCGATACAAATGTAGACGGAAGGTTTTCGTCGACACTTTTCGCATCTGTTTTGCTCTGACCGGGTACTCTCAAACTGAAGATCAGCAGGCAAAATATTTTTTGCCTTCGTTGCCTCCTTTTTCGAATGTGACGCACCAACCTCCGCCATCACAACATCATTACAAACAAATCGTTCGCATTTGGCTTTCAGAATATGCTACTGAACAGCATTTTACTGAAGAGAGAGCTTAAAAGCTATTTTTGTTCTTCTAAGGTGCCATTTAGGATACTCAACTGGCCTACAGCAAAATAGTCGATCAAGAAGCCGCCATTGTATGTTTACATCATCAAAAATACATGCAAATTTATGCAGCTATTACGCAATATTTACAATTAGCTAGATTATGTACATAATTAAGACGATTTAAATAATGCAGAAATATGATGTCAAATTCAAAACAACGGACCGCACCCAAGGGAAAACATTCGGGCACACGTTAATGTATAAAACGTTAATGTAAAGAAATTTATGTTTAGAAGAAATAATGATCCTTTTAGCTGTTTTCTGTTTGATTTTCTTTTAGCAACCTATTTTAGGCCTGTTCACACTACTCCGTAACGGGGTCAAACTAATCCGTTTTTGCCGTTCACACTACTCTGCTATGAAAACGGAGTCATTTGAAAATGCTAATGAAAACGGATACTTTCTAGTACGGTGCATATTGACTACGCTCCGTTTTCAGTGTGAACACCAAAAACGGAGACATTTGAATACGCTAACAACGGCAAAATAAATACGTGCTTTCTAGCACACCAAATCTAAAAAATTTTGAAGTTGAGAATTCACAATGGACTAGTAGCTGTTACAACAAAGTTTTTCACGATTTGCTTTTATTCAATTTCACTAAGAATGACGCCAATTTGTTGAGGATTCGTGAACGCCTCTTTCCAAAAATGAGGCCACTACCAGCGTTTTTGTTGGAGCAGTGTGAACACTTACCGTATTGAAATCGTAGTCATTTGAAAACGGATAAGTGTGAACGGACAGCGTTTTCATCAACGAAAACGGAGCGAAACGAATACGGGGGAAAATTCGTAAAGGAATTACTTCATAAAATTGCAATAAAGGAGTCATGTAACATTTACCGTATTCAAATCGTAGTCATTTGAAAACGGATAAGTGTGAACGGACAGCGTTTTTATCAACGAAAACGGAGCGAAACGAATACGGGGAAAATCCGTAAAGGAATTACTTCATAAAATTGCAATAAAGGAGTCGTGTACGGTTCGATTTTTTCCAGAATTCTGACTGTGTAATGTTAAATCTTAATTTGAAGGAATTTCGGATTGTATTTTTCAAAAAGCGCGCGAAATTACTATGCTGACGACTCTTACTTTCTACAAAACATCGTTGTTCCATTTTGTTCATCAAAGCTAGGAGAATTTTTTAAAAGTAAGCGGAATTCAAAGGAAAGGTTAGTAGACCTTCGACTCAACTTTTTTCCTGCATCTCAACTTTCCTGGCCATCAGCTTTTTAGCCAAAACAAAACAAAACCCCACGAGTTGTTTCTTCGTCTCTCAAAAACGAATATTCATGGAAACAAAAACAAAAGCTTGAACAATTTTCATTCACGAGGGTTCTTTTCGGAAGCACTATCCTTTCTCATCGTCAAAACTAACCTTCTACCTATTTGCAGATGATATTTACATTTACAATCAATGAAGCTGACAATCTTGACCTACTTCAAAGGATAGTAAACAAAGAATTGAAAAAAATGAAAATGTGGCTTGACGTGAATAGACTGTACATTGAATATTGATAAAACTAATTTCATTATTTTCAAGTCACCTCAACATCCTCTCTCTGAAGCAGTTAATAAAAAGATTGGAAACTTCCCTGTGAAAAAACTTGTTATTTCTTGGTGTCCTTCTTGATGAAAATCTTTCTTGGAAATATCACTTGACAAAGCTTTCAAAAGACTTGCTTGAACTTGTGGTATGTTTTTCAAAGTAAGACACTTTTTACCCACTAATGTTTTAATTTGTCTCTACAATTCTTTTTTCTCACTGTTTCTTCAATACGGTGTCTTAGTTTGAGATCTTACATATGAAACTCATATTGATCCAGTGTTCTTGTTGCAGAAAAGGGTCATAAAGGCCATTTCAATTGAACATTTTACCTATCACTCTACACCTATTTTCTCTAACCTGAAGGTTTTTACAAGATGCATGATCTCTTTAAGCTGAAGTACGCTGTTGAATTTCATTTCATGTACATCTTCAAGCTGTTGAATTAAGCTGAAGCTTAGATCTGTGTACGGCTATGTTTATAAGATTCTTCCCTCCTCTTTTCGTTCTTTCTTTGCATTAGTTGGATCTGTTCAGTGGCGGAAATCCAGGCTTTCATTGGGGGGGGGGGGGAGAGGGAGCCTGGCATACGATTTTCCGACAAGATAACATCTTGAGTCATGTCTAATTTTAAAGGAACTGCACATTTTGATTAAAATATGTGATTTTTTGGTGGGACCCTTTCAAAATCTTTACTGACTAACCACGCCATAAATAAGTAGCAAGAAGAGCAATCCATTTATGATTTTTGATATCAAAATCGATATCTCATCTAAGGCAATTGATGATACACGAGATTGGCCGACTACACTATTTACAAGTCATTCATGATAACAACATGATTGTAATTCTAAAATTTATTTTCTGCATTTTATCGTGTTTTCTTCAGAGGGAAATACGTTTGAAAATAACTTTTATTTGGAAGAATCCGATTGGAAGTTAACACAGTACAGTATGGCCTCAGGTCTCTACGCTACTTTGATGTTGGAATGACATTCCCATTGATATAAAAAAATTCACCATCTACTTATAGCTTTCGTCATAAACTCAAAGCCTTCTCAGGGGATCTTTTAACATACAAACTAGTAGGAAATTTCCCCACCAGGCCCTTAAATTTCCCCGCTAGTTGGCCAATGATTTCCCACTAGCAGGTGCCTTTTCATTATTTTGTTTGGTTTATGGGTATTTTTTCGCTGCATGGGAGTGAGGACTGATGTGGAAGAATTTTAACCTTACACATTATGCATAAGAAAGATAGTGAGGAACGAAGCAATTTGACGACAAGAACCAAATGTAATAAGTTGAATAGAATTTTAAAATAACTTAAATTAAACGAGTACTAATACTTCGTCCCGGCATACAGGGCTTCATCAGAGTAAAAAAAGCACTCTCTATTCCCTTTGCTTTTGTTTATGCCGCCAGTTGCGTCACGTTAAGAAAAAGGCCCTTTTTGACAATTCCCCTCCAGTTTGAAAATTTTATAAAAGATCCCCCGAACATTCTTCTTTGAAAGCAATTACCAATCATAGAAGTCCTAAATTCAGAGAAATTCATACGAGTTTAAGGGAGTTTTAATAAAATATAATTGATAATACCATACAAGTTGGACGTGGTTGAGGGCCAGGGGCGTCATGGATGAATTTTCCGACAAAATTTCTTTGGTTTATTTTAATTAAATAGAAGCATTTCATGTAAGTGTAGGGGGGGGGAGAGAAAACACATAACCTTTGCCCTAGCTTGAAAGGTTTTTAAAAATGCACTTTTACCTTGTTTCTATTTCTTCATACCTACTGTGAAAATCTCTGAAATCTAACAACCCTATAGGTCGATAGATAGGACAAAGGTTATTAACTAAAGTTATTAACTGAGGCGGCACCATGGTTGCCGCAAAAGGGCAAAAGTTTTTATAATCGTAATGCTTCAAGCTCGCCGGAAATTGCATTCTTTGGAGCAAATTTTGATAGCAAAATTATATTTTTAAAATGAATATCCACTGGCGGAAAATGATGGTATTGATCGACTTCTTTTTTGTTTTACCTTATGCAACATTATGCCTTCCCTGCTACTGTAAGGCTAAGACTTGCAGAGTCTCAGAAACTTGTTTTGGCAAATGTTTTGAGTTATTACATGTTAAGGTGGAGATAGTTTGTGCTTAGCTTAGTTGTGATGGTTAGCGTGCGGGAGGTCATTATTGAGCGGAATTATCGGGAGACTCCCGCAATTTGCGGGAGTGTTGGCATGTATGGTAAAATGGGGTGCTCTCTCCACGACTAGCCTAACCATGGAGAGAGTTCCTCCTCAAGAAATTCCCCTTAATCTGTTCTATTTTGCCCCTTCTTATTCAGTTGGTATGCTATAGCATTAAATTTTTTATATTTTGTAGTAATGTTTATTAACTTAACTGTATTGTATATAGAGGAATTTAAAAAAACTATATCATTGGCCTAATGGCTTCTTCGATGAGACGTGATGACGTCATAAACATCTATTTTTAGAATTTCTCAATTTTGATCCCAGAACCTAAAAGAGCGTCATGAAATACCTCTAACAATGCAAAATCACTTAAAGGCACTGTAAATTGGCTGAGATATGGCCACTTGAGCACAAGCTCTTGCCCCATCAAACCTCTGTAATTTGGTCTTGGTTCATTGCTTTATGAACCAGGGCAGAATAACAGTAATCCGTTAGCAACTTGAAATCTTTTATTGGCCATATCTCCTCTAATTCGGAACATATCTAGCTAATTTTGCACATTGAGAGGTATTTGTATTTTATGCCGTTCTTTCAGATTATGTGGCCAAATTTAAGAAATTGGCCACAGAATACTCTGAATACTCTAAATTTCTCAATAAAAGTATAATTTGATATTGACGAATGATAAAAGTAAAAGAAAAGAGGGCAGACAATAATTCCCTGTTTTCCTCCGTTGTGCGTTTTTCTACATGCCCAAATTTGAGTCCTCCCATAAGAGATGATGGCCTAAATTTTTCACGAAGAAAGTCGCCTGTAGTAATGTTGCTCGGTAGGAAGATAGAATAGCCGATAAGACTGGCTTTATACAAGCCTGTAGATTATACAACAAAGGATTTGTTTGTAGTACAAGGAATTTATAAACAGCTGGGGAAAACAATTTTCACTGAAATCATCTCAACTGGGGGGACGGTACCCCAGCAGAATATTCTTTTTGCATATAACTGGACCAAAGAAGCTGGTGCAAGGTTGTCTCCTTGGTTATAGGGTCACTTGCTAGGAGCAGTGGTTCGAGTCACTGACATGACCAAATTTACCAAACATTTGCATAGAATTTGTCAATTGAAACAATTTTTTTCTAATGGTTTGGAGGATGCTAGAATGGTACCTTTTTTTATGGATTGAGAAATGGCAGCAAAATCAAATTATAGTCCAATTTAATTTCTGCCCTTCATCTCTAGTTTTTTTTGAGAAAGTTTGTTTTCCACAGATTGCAATTGTACATAAATAGTTTAACCCTTTGAACTTAAAAACCGTTCTCTACACTACCCTGCCTACCTAAAAAGTGATATAAATAAAGTAGCTTGTGTTTTGTTGTTGAAGAATTAAATGGCTTCTTTGCATTTTAATGACACTTGTGCCTACAACAAAGTGAAAAAATTACTTGGCTGAATGAGGCTATCCATGATGACCTTCAGAATTTGGTTGTGGGTTTTGACCAATGTCATGCTTTTTAGCGTGAAAACATAGGCATTGAACTATTTTTCATGATAACAAATGATTTTGCTTGTTGCTGTATTTGAGGCAGCTTGAAGTATTTGTTGGCAGCTTTTTCTCCCAGAATCTCTCGTGAGTGATAATAGATTAAAACCTGACCACTTTTGCAATCACTAGATACCCATCAAACTGGTACAGCTGGATAATTGCCTAACATTGCAAGATCAAGCACAACTGCCTTACCAAAGGAATATCAATCCATATGGATTTTGAAGAACACTTGAAAAAAAAACATTAAAAAAAAAACTTAAAAACATTAACAACTTTAGAGGCAAAAGTTAACTATCAAACCACATTTAAGATCTGTTGTTCTCCTTGAGGTTGCTGTGGGACTGTGCTCATTAATTGAAATATTAGGCAATAGAAACATTGAAATAAGGCAGCTAAAATAATCGTAAATAGAATAAAATTTAATCATTTTTGCGAGCATGCTCTTTAGATTGGCATGAAATAGATTTGAGAAAATTTGATGCAGTGGACCCTTGCCTCTTAGCTATGCTACTGGTGGACCCTTGCCTCTTAGCTATGCTACTGGTGGACCCTTGCCTCTTAGCTATGTTACTGGTGGAAAATTTATAACTCAGATCTTTGCTTCTTTACTTTTATCCTACTATTTTATGTACTTGCCTTGAAAAATAATAGTTTTAAAGGTTAACAAGCTTTACAATTTAATTTGCAGAGTAAAAAGAACAATTCAATGCAACCATAGATGTCACAGTAAAAACAAAGCTTAACTACTTTTCCAATAAATTGGGATGATCTGCCCAAAACTGGTCCCCAATAATATCAATATGTTGCTTCTTGATAGCTTTTCGTTTCCTAAGGTCTGAGTCATGTTCAGGAAAGTCCCAAAACATAACAGTGCCTTTACGAAACAGTTCTGGCTCATTGTTGTAGTTCATTCCAAATTCTGAGAACAGTATCTCATTTTTATCAGCAGAAAGTGTGTCCTTAAGTCTCTGCTCGGCTTCTTTGTTTGTGAGCCCACCTTGCTGTACCAATGCCCAAAAGCATGTATTATACAAATTGTTTATATGACAGTCTGCCTGCCTCCAGCTCAGATAATCTCTTATGTTTTCCAGGGATGGATAAACAACAGCCCTTCCATCAAATGATGGAAGAAGTTCTAGTTTCATTTGAAAGTATTTTTGCCAGTTGAATACAAATGCAGATGTAAATAAAGATACTATATTTGAGACCAGTTTGCTTTTTCTTCGGCTAAATTGAGTTGTGGACCTCTTCAATACAAAACTATACTCATCACTTTGTCCATAAGATATAATAATGTCCCTAAACTCTTTCATAACATCTTTTGCGGCTTGGCTCATCAAGTTCAGGGCATTTTCGTCATTTGGCTTTTTATAGCTATGCTTCGATGCGAAACTGTGGAAGTTATGGCCATCTATCCGAATAACTATCCAGCAATTAGGTAAGCAAAAATCTTTTTCCTCGAATTTCTTCACATATTCGTACTTACTTTTCGCCATGCTTACAAATTTTCCAGTGATTCAAATTCATAAATACACATGAGGAATATCAGTTGCCTCGTGTTCACGTTTACGCGGAAAAGAGAGGCAAAGGATATAACTTCTACAATGCAATTCGGCCTTGGTATCATTTGAAGGTAATGGCGGCATGTTGGTACATGTTCCGAACAAGTAATCGGTGATTTTCAAAGATTCAAAAGCTTATGCGTATGATATGCCCAAAGGCAACTGTTAAAAGAACAAAGAGAGCTCATTCTTGATAGGAATCGATGTAAATAACTTTCAGTAACGCTGCGAGGAACTCACATCGCAACGCAACTTTCAAAAATTTACTTTGTGCTTGTCAAAAGGAAATATGCCTAAGTCTGATGGGAAATCCAAAAGGCCTTTAATAGATTCAGATTCTGACGATGAAGATGATCTAGAAGAAGTGAGATTACCATTTCGCATCTAGTTATCAGTTTCTTACTATAGTGGAATGTAACTGGGATTCTGCACTTCGGCGCCTGTTGTTTTTTTTATTAAAAATTACAGAATATGAAGATTATGTGTATGATAGAAAAGTTCAAATTCTTCAATTTTAAATATATCATCATTAATCAGGAATCAGATGCTTTAAAAAAGTTAAGATGCTTAACCATTATTAAAAGACCATGTGCACCCTTCTTGAGACAAGTGAATTGAGAATGGTTTTCATGATACTTTAAACTCTGAAGAAGCAATAGGAACACATCACAAAATAAAACAAATATAAAAACCTTGAAAATTTTTAAGATTTGATAAAGTACAAGGTATAATCATTGCAAATTTATTCTCTGATTGATTTTTTCCAAAATTTTGAAACCCAAATAAAATCAGCATCAGATTTTCAAACTCTCATGGCAAAGCAGAATTTGTTCAAAATACCAACAGCCCAATTATCAAATGTTGGCCTAAACAGATAATCATGAGGGAAAAGAAATCTGTTTAAAAATCAGAAAGAATTAAATGCTGTTTGGCATTCCAAATAATAAACTTGCTAGCTGTATGCCAAGCACTTCAGAAACTAAACTTGTAAGATTTGATGCTTATTTGGTCAGAAGTTTCCTAAGTTAAGGTAAACTTTGCAAAGAACAGTCAACCCAATTTTCTTTTACTCTGAAGCAAATGAACCTACTTTAAAAAAAGTATTTTATTTATCTTTGATGGTATAACTTGATAGTTATCAATTCCAAATCAACTTTTCCCCAAAAGAATTATAAACAAATACATATCATGAATTGAAAAACCATATGATCAACAATGAAGCTGATCAAAATTTCATGATTTTATGTGTTATTGTAAGTAGGATCTTTCAGATTTAGATAACAAACCTCAAAGATTCAATATTTATAAAACTCTCAGATGAATGGGAACTGTGGGCTGATTATAACATTGTATTAATAATGGAGGCAACAAAAAATTGGATTTAGTAAAAAATTTCTCAAATTGTATTTTTATTCTTTTATGAAAACAAACATACTAAAGAAACTCAAACAATACATTATTCATTTGGTATGAATTATTATTCTAAAAAATTGTTTTGCTACAATATGATAGGCTGAATGCACTTGGATTTATAGTTTTGAGTTTTACCCTTTTAGCTCTTAACCATAGATTCATATCTGTTTTAGCAATTGCTCTCAATTGCAAAGAAGCCAAAAATGGCCGCTAGTAAAAATGAGAAAAATGACTCTGCAGCAAGTGAGAAGGGAGGGGAAAGTGATTCTTCAGATTCTTCCACAGATGATGATGACGAGGTAATTTTTGCATTTTTTTAAGGTCGTCAAGTGTTGACATTAAAAATTTCTAGCAATCCATATTGTAAAATCCACTAAAGGGTTGAGATGAACACATCCAAAGTTGTAACATTTGTTTTTCCTACTGAAATAAAGTTTGTACTAGGAAGATAAATTGAGTGTCAATAGAGTGATTATCTGGCAAATGATAGATAGAGTTGGAGTCAAAAATATGTTTGATATTCTATGCTGAATCTAATTTGAAACCTTGTTGTATATCATATGCTAAAAGGAATCAAGGAAGAGGGGAAAGTTTGAATGCTGGCTGCTCTGCACTTCCAGACAAGCATAAACTTCATTCATAGTAAACACTGGAACAATAGAAATGATTAAAAATTTGACAGTCTTCTGTGACAGAAAACTAATATCATGAAAATATACTAAGGTTCAATCAATTGATTGTTGCATTTGAAGTAGAAGGCATTGAGTGGCAACACTAAAATTTTATATTTGGTTTTCTTGAAACTGCTTTCAAGATTTATACCTTTGAAATTGCAAATGAAAATTACTGTTAAAAACTTTGAACATGTCAATTTTTATAGTGAAATTAGAAATAGTGAAGAAGTAAACATTTAAGATATGCTGCAACTTTCGATCTGAAACTTCTCATTGCATGAAATGTCAGAATATGGATTGAAAATGTAAAGCTAGTAAATATATACTTAGTCAGAATTTGAAATAGTCCAGTCAGAAAAGTGAGCGCAAAACTGTAAAGGTGCTCAATCAGTGCCTACATGAAATATTGCAGTTAGAGTCCAAGGGTGAAATCAAAATCCTTTTGTCATCATAATTGTGGTTTTTATTCTTTGAATGATTGGAAAACTGTGCTTGAGCTTGAGCTCAAGCCCATATTTCTGAAACGAATACCACTATAGTTTTTGGAACAATTTGGTTTTCTTGTTAATGCTGTCTTATGGCAGAAACAGAAGCTTTGTTGGATCTACAAAGCCAAGGAAGCAGTTTTTTTCAGGAGGGACAGTTTTTCTTTTTGTTTTAAGGAACATGCTGTTTCATGGAACACTCTGAAGAGCCTAATGTTTGAAAGAACACTTAAGCTAATGAGTTCATCTAGAGAATTGTTTTTCTTTTTTTTCTTTTTCATATAAAAATTGGCTCTTTGTTTTGATTGTCCCATAGACCAAATATCATTTGCTGGTATCCTCTTTGTTTTTATTAGCTCTGTTATCTCCTTTAATTATCATATATTTTCATGCATAACTATGTTTTCCAAAAAACAGGGTCCTCTCTCCATTAAGTAGTTTTAAATCTGTCACATTATTGGAAATTTAGAAGTTTGTGTATACTGGTGCCATTGACTCTCATGGACATTAGGTGTACATCATGCTATCTGTGAGGGCAGCAGACCTACCTATGCTCGCTATTGCTATCCAATAAAGTTGAAGAAAACTTCTTCAGGATAGAAAATATTGGCTAATAATTGAGCAACACTTGACCAGCGAAAAATTGATGTGCCTGCAATGATTTTAAGTTTGTCCTAAATTTCTGTTTAACAGTGGACTGTTGATTCAGAAAAGAGTGGATCGAAAAGTAAGGAGAAGAAGAAAAAGTCTGTCGTTAGAAAAGAGAAGAACAAGGAGACATCGAAAAGGGAGTCATCAGATGATTCAAAAAGTGAGTCAGGGGAGATAAGTGATGATGACGAACTTTCAGAAGGAGGTAAATAAGATTCACTCATTTTTGTGTGCTTAAATCGACCAATATCTCTGACTCAGCTATTTCCACATATTGAATCGATTACAAGCTTTTTTCAGCCTGGTGAGATGCATTATCGTTTATTACCAGCTGCTTTTTTGCTCTGAATCAGTGAAGTCTCTTAATGTTGCTCTTAATGACCCGATTTACTAAAATGTTATGGAACAAGCTATCACATAAAGTTTTTTATCTAGTTGAGCCATAGAGAATTTTTCATGATTGTAGATGTAAGTAAGATATGCTGTGCGAAATTCGTTTTCTTCTACAGAACTTTCAGAAGACGAGTTGTCTGAAGGAGAAATACCTGACTTTGACGACGGTTTGGACGATAATCTTGTTGGTGATGAGGCTGACAGACGAAAGCTTGCCATGATGACAGAGAAGGAAAGAGAACAAGAGTTATATAACCGAATGGAGAAGAGGGAAGCACTGAAAACGAGAATGGAAATAGAACAGGTGTGTGTTAATTATAGAGTTTCCTATTCTTCTTTTGGCTTTTTTCAAGCCAAATCACTTGCAGCCTGTTATTTGCAATAACACACCAAACAGCGAACAGAATTACAAAAGGCACATTCTTAGGTTGAAGTATCCGAGAGCCACAAATTATGATTATTGGCCTGAATTCTTCTTCCGACTATCATTTTGTCTTCTTTTTCGACCACATTTTCAATAATCACTTCACTTGGGCTTCTCAATAGAAATTAAAGCTGGCAAAACGAAGAGGGAAAAAAGAGAATAAGAAAGAACGAAAGGAAAAAAAGACTGTTCCATATCATGAAGAATTTTCAAGTAGTATTGCCATGAGAAAAGGTGAAAGAACAAGATCAAAATTAGAGGACAAAAAAGCGAAAGCGATCGATGAGCTGAAAGCCAAGAGATCGGAGAAAAAGGACAAAAAATCTGGTGATGATGTTTTAGAGAAAAAGGAAACATTGAAGACTAGTGATGTATTTACTGATGACGAGGATGAAGATCAGGAAAGTGATGCAGCGTCCGGTGAAGATTCGTATGAAATTGAATCAGATGAAGAGTAAGTTTTTAAGGAAATTAATTTGCGTTTCACAAAAACCGGGAATCTTCTTACTTTCTTTTGTTTATCTACTTGTATGTGGTTTTTTACTTTCTGAATGTGTTTCAACCTTTTTAGAGTGCAGCAAGAAGAGAAACGACTTACAACGAAAGAAGAGCTTGAAAAGGCCAGACTGTCTAGACACAAGCTTGAACAGTAAGTGCTGGGCAAATATCGTTTGTATGTCTTTGTTAACTTTGACAGTCTTAGAGATGTACTCAAAGAACAAGTGTGACTCTTACTAAGGAAGTTTCGTTTTTGTTCAACAAATGGCCTTCATTTATCCTCGTTACATCAAGCAGTCCTTAAAGTCAATCGCTAGTATAGTGTGGCTTTTACTAGAGCTAACAGGAATTATAATAATGATGTCTTAACCGAGCCTGATGCAAAGGTCCCAAGAAGTAATTATAAGCTCCTTAAAGCTTGAGATCTGACTCTTGAATTATACTGAGTTTATCAGGATATTGAGAAAAAAGAAATGGAGGATATTCTACTTCAGAAGAAATTTCTGATCTTTTTGCTTCTACATCGTTTAAGAAAAGTGGAAAGAAATAAACGAGTAAGGAATGTGCGTTTTGGATCGCACCAATCGTGTTTCATGTAAGTCAGATTGGGCACTTCGAGGAACGATCACCACTGCGCTCCTGCGATGATGACTTCTAAAAAGGCGATCTTAGGTGCAACGCGATGGAAATGCTGTTGTATGAGAACATATAAACCCCAGTTTCAAATAATGCTGTGATGATCTTTTTCTTAGATGGGTTCATTTGCCGTTTTTCAAGAAGGTTGTGACTGGATGTTTCGTCCGCATTGGAATTGGAAGTCATGAAGGCAGAGCAATTTATCGGGTACCTATCCTACTTGGCCTTGATTGACTCTATGCATCAACATATTGTGAAAAAGAGCACGTTACACTTCGTATATCGATTTTGCTCAGCTATTTTGTCATATAAAGTAAAAGGATGGCAACAAATCTACTTTTCTTCGAAAATACTAAACTTTTTTTTTCTACATTTGAGCCATACTTTGTTTTTTGTTGTTTTTGAATTGGTGTTTTTTGCACCAATTCATCAATTTGAGCAATATTTTCTACAAAGTTACATTTCTACAACCCTTATTCAAAGAAAAGTCCAATGTTGAAGAACATTGTAGAATTTCTTTCCGGGCCTAGTAAAAAATGATAAATTTTTCTTCAGGTTGCAGAAGTCATGGATGTTGTGGAGCAACATAAGGTTTACCAATTAGGTAAAACGCGAACAAATAAAGGCCTAAAGTTAAGGTAAAGGGTTTGCGATTGTTTGCAAATTTTTCTCTTGTTTTTTTGACTATGCTTTTAGGTATTCAAAAGACCGTAATTTAAGACGCCAGTACGTGCCATCTGTTTTCTAATCATTATCACTTTCTGCATATTTTGCGAAAAACTGTCTCCTAATGTGCGATAAATCTGGATAATTGTGAAATATCTACCGCACTTTGTGAACCATCCATAAATTTCCAATACCGAATGAATTTAGGCCAAATTGGCTTCTCGACTGCCCTTGAGTGAGAGGTTGGATAGGTTGGGAGACAGGAAAAGGCTGAAAGACTGTCATCACCGTTTGAATTAGGTTAAGTGTAATGCTATGAATTATCATATGCCAATCAAAATTGTAGTGCAAAGAAGATGTAAAACATGTGGAAGTACTCAGAGTTCAGGACATTAAGGGGAGGGGTAGGTGATTGGAATAAACAGGGGGTCATGGTTGATTCCAAAATTCATAAAAAGCTGGAGTCGGTGTTTAATTGATCTAAAATTAAGAGGAAAGTGATTCTTAGAAAATTTCAAATTTCCAGTTCTAGTCGATCTCTGTTATCGATCAAACAGGGGGTCGAGAAAAGGATGGGGCCTTCAAATTCCCGAAGGGAGCCCCCAGCTCTTACTCCAGAGAAAAGTCCATTGCTCTGTTTTCTAGAGAAAATGCCCATTGCTTGATGATAAAACAATTTTTTATTACATATCGAATAGATAAAATGTGAAGATTGATCCATGCTTAATTATTGTCAATTTGTTTTTGAGGTCTGTCAATTAAATGTTTGTATTGTTTATTCAAGGCAATTATTGGCATTTCTTGTGATATCTTTTCGCATATACAGTCAACTCTCGCCTTACGGACACCCCGATATTACGGACACTCCTCTATTACGGACATAAATTAAATCCCCGACCGAAAATATAAAGAAATGAATTTAGCTCCCGCCATAACGGACTCTAGTTATTACGGAAATACGGACAATACGAATGGTCCTTTTCGAACATTTTAATTGTTTAACTCTCGATACAACGGACACATGCTGTGTATAGCTGTCAGATGCTACGGAAATGCATTGCATCGACCAGGATCTTTAGCATCTATTGCACAATCCATTTTCGCGGAATTTTTATTTGTTGCAGTCTCACTAATCTTAGACCCCCATCACAGGAATAATTTCAGGCCGGTCTGAAACTCAGGTCGGCTTGAAGTTTGATAGTGCGTGCTAATTTGACTCCTGCTCACATGAACATTTTCAAACCGGCTTGAAAAAGCCACAGAGTTTTGCACATCCGCATTTACTGCAAATTCAGATCAAAACAAACATGGCGCAGAAAATTCACATTTTATATCAGTATTGAATTCGATTTTTGTTTTTTAGTCTCCGCTTTGCAACTTAATTTTTGTTCGCTTCTTCAACTGATGTCTCAAGTAACCAATCTTAATCAAGAAATCTTTCTTGCTAATGAAGAAGAAAGTCGTGCTTTGTGCAGATACTGTCAGTGGTCAAATCAGTGGTCTATGCAATAAAAACTGCAAAATAACACAAAGCTTATAAACTACAGAACTTCTAGAACCTAATACAAGGCTACAGAACTTCAAATATTTTAATAAAATTGTATGATTGCTGTTGATTGCCAAAATTAATAAATTTTTTTGGCATCCCGCTGGTACGGACTATCGTTTTAGCGGACGCAATATTTTGGTCCCAATGGTGTCCATAATAACGAGAGTTGACTGTATTTAGTTCCATTCCGAGCCGACGTAAAAAGCTACTTCCTTGTCTTGTTAAGTTACATGAAATTTGTTCGATATAGGCATGGACAGCAGGATCGTGTGTTTCGCATAGAATATGTTTCGAATCAAGGATTCACTGAGTCGGAGTTTCAGAGGTGGAAAGAAGAGGTGAATTTCAATAAGAAACTACTTTGTAAACACGTTCTTAGATGACTTTAGTTGCTTGTTAAGTTGTGTATTTTCATTTCGCAATCCGGTTTTTTTAAGGCGTGATGTGAATAATCACACATGTTTTTCAATAGAAATCTACTTGGAAGATGCAAGTGTTACAAAGATAAAATTAGAAGATTTAAATTTATGATAATTTAGAATTAAAAGATTTAGAACACTTCAAGGAATCTCATTTGGGAAATTTATGACTTCACCTTCTCTCCTTCCAAGTCTTCCTAATACATGAAATCAGCATTAAGTAGCAACAGCAATATCAATCAAAAAAAGCAGTCTTACCTTTTACTCTTATAATATGGCAATCGTGCGTTTTCCGCTTAATTCCATTTGTAAAGAATGCATAAATCTATGTTTTGCAGATGAATCTAGCGGGGCTTTCTTTGCCGTTGCTTAACGACGTAGACAAGAAGAGCAAGGAGATCGATGGTGCTAGAACGTATATGTACAAGGAAGATGACATTGAAGCGGTAAGGTGACCACGTGACCACATGATCTCCTTGTCTGTTTATTGTAACGTGCGTATGACGGCGTTTGTCTTGTTCCAGTTGTACAAAAGAAACTGAAAGTTTTATCTTGAGAAAAAGTCAAAACAATTTCGTTTTAATCTTAGTAGTTTTTTGAAGAAGATTTTGCAAACCTTTATTTAGGATGTTTCGTTATAAAAAATTTAATTAAAAACGCCTGCTGGAGACACTTCTTGTCAATATGCCTTTGAGGAATTACCATGAGCAATTACATCTACTAGTGTGGTCCCCATAACTGAGCCCTGATGGACCCCTATGTTTGTCTTGCCTAACTGGAGAGTATGTTGCAAGTAATTGACGCTAGCTGTTGTGGATTCGATAGATCTAGAATACTCATCGTCTACCTTACTCACAAAGCCAGCAGTCTTGAAACTTGAACCACTTCTGTTATTGCTCAGTTTTATAACGTATATTTCAGGTTATTCTATTGTCTTTAGATATTTTGAAACATTTTTCGACAGAAATGGAAAATATTGTATACTATGAATGATGTTAAAACTTGCAATTGTTCTGATTTGCAGATTGTTCAAGAAAAACAAAAATTCAGAAAGAATCCCTTTAATTATGCAGTAAAGAAAAACCAACTTCTTCGTAAGAAGGTAAGATGCTCAAAGCAAATACGTTCCCCTCTCCCTTCCATTTGCGTACTAAATGAGTTTATCTACCAGCTCTTGACTCAAAGATGTCAAGTCTGTCCTACTGTTTTCTAAGAATTTCCATGTATTTTTAACAGGAAACCGCAGAGCAGTCTGGGAATTACGAAGATTTGCAAAAAGTCCGTCGTGAGCTTGAAGATTTGGAGGAAAGGGCGTCATTCCTTGACAAGAAGCGAAATAAAAATCTAAGTGCAGTCAGGTAGGAATGCTTCGATTGAGTTTTACTAAAAAGTCATTAATTTTCAATGCGAGAAATTTATTCCTAATAAGAAAATGGAATTATATGAAGCTGTAATGAATTTGACAAAAATAGAGGGAGTTCCAAATTCCTCGTAGCCTAGAGATTCTTCAAAACTTTTTGAACAATGCAATATATGAATCGAAGTCAAATACCGCCGCAAAAAGGCTAGAAGAAAATCTATTGTTTTTACTTACCTTTGCTCTGATTTTTCGGCATTCTTATGTAGAAGCTGATGCAAATTTCATTGTTATTCATCGTTTTTTAGTTTTATCAACGAAAGAAACAGAAAGAAAAACATTTATGATGCAGAAAAAGCCGCCATCGTATGTTGAGTTTAGTCATTTTCCTCCGAAGTCCTTTAATTCGTCATTCCCAAAACGTTTTAAGCACCCTAGTTATTCCCTATTTAGCATTTTCCCCATTTAATCCCCCCCAATTAATATTTGTTTATTCCCCATCAAGGAGTTGTACAATGTCGCACTTACATGATTAGCAAATTCGATTTAAATCGTTCTAGGACATGTTTTATTTGTCTGTATAACCAAAAAATTTAAACGGAATCCTAGTCAATTTATATTCTGTGTATTTATTGATCAGCTACTTAATCTTCAATCTTCCTTTTATAGAAACGCAAGTTTCGCTAGCTTTGCAAAAAATAGTAAAAATTCACTCGTGCTTTTATTTCTACAGGAAGAGATGAGAACCTTTGAGAAAACTGACGATCCGTTCACAAGGCGGAAAACTACGCCAAAAATGGTCACACCCTTGACTGTTAGTTGAACTAGAGATATCATAATTCAGATTTCATTGCCTTTTTTGTATTTTCTCGTATATTTTCTGGCTTTTTCGCAGTTATTGATAAACTTACATCTTTTTGAAACTTTACGGTGATGACATCAGAAATCGCTATGCTCATTGTCTTTCTGTATTCCAATTTTGTATCTAAGCTGACACTCTCTTATTTTCACTCTCTTTCGAAGTTAATGCCACTAAACTGAAACCTTACTGTTTTTATCTCCTATTAACAGTTGGCGAAGTCTGAGATCCCCTCTGAAACACCAAAACAAGACTCAACGACAAAGAAGGAAAACCTTGACGGAAGCATCATCGACCCGAGCGACGTGAGAATACGTTCTTAACTTCTAAATGGCTACTTAAAAAATATCTAGATGGCTACTTAACGTTTTGGTGTAAAGAGCAGGGTGGTTCCTTGCCTGATTATCGGATTTTACGTCAAACTTCCAGTTGCAACTTAGAACTGCCACTTGAGGTATTTGGTGGGAATTGTGATTGTAAGCTCATTTCTAGGAAAATTTCCGTTATCCTTGCAATTTTAAAGCCAAGAGGAAGACTTTTTAATTTCGATGTTTTAATCTAATAAAATATGTTTTTCGTATTTTAATTTCGTTTCAGATTCCAGACGAACAGCCAGACAGCCCTCTAACCAAAGAAAAGGTGCGGTATTGCAAATAGTTCTCGAAAAGTCCTGTTCTTTATAAATTTAAACATTTACATTGCTTTGTTTTGGGTTCTAATATATGAAACAGTCTTGGAATTCTTGTTGACTTCAGGTTTAGTCAGTTAACTAACATGTAAATTGAAGCCTCTAAGCTATTTTCATTTTTAACAGGTGATAATGTCTTTACTCTCGATGCCAACATCGGGTGCGACAGCAACAACGCCAGCGGACAAAGAAGATTCCGAAGACCTCTTTTCAGCCCACGACTTTGACGTTCAAATTGACATGACTTTGCCAGGTATAATGTTGGGCTATTTCTCTTGTTTTGTCATTGTCAACTTTGTATCACACATATCGGTATTTTTCTATGGACTGCATAAGATCTTTGACCGATTTTCTTTTCTAGAGTCAAGGCAAATGACCCTATCTGCGAAATCAACGCCAACGCAAAAGGAGGGTGGACCAAGCCGAAGGTCGCTAAATCTTGACGAGTATAAGAAAAGAAAAGGATTGATCTAAGAAACGAATAATCCGAGAGGAGCAGAGAAGTTATCTCGGAAATTATGGGGCTATTGCAAGTGTTCTCAAGTTTCACTGGAATGGGTTCTTTGAAAGTTAAATGAAGTGTAAATATGTACGATGGAAATGAAATGATGTGGCAGTTTGTGCGTGCTCTAGTTTTAAAGAGGAACTAACTTCCGTTGAATTCAAAAGGCAGGAACCTAATTTGTGGCTCTCGAGCTATTGTGTATCGTGGTCGATATTGTGCTTTAAATGTCAGACGAGTTTTGTCACAACGGTCCTTTGACAGTTCGAGTCATGCCAATCGCTAACGCGATCTGTTTAAGGACTCTTGGAAGTTGGTTGTTGATTGCTGAAACTATACCCTACTGTTGTCATTTTTTATAAGGTAGCAACGTACACAAAGCCTTAGTTGAAAACCAGTAAGGTTTCTCGCTTCAGGATTTAATCAATACAAAAAGGACCTTCCATAAACCGTTCTCGTTTGACTATATATTCATAAAAATAGTGAAATTTGGTCCGACAAGAAGGATTCAGTATAGATTATCGACCTTTTATTTTTTCGTGTAGCAGGACCTTATCTTGTATGAAAAAAATCAATTATTATGGTTTTATATTTTCAAATCTTTTCTTTACATGCATGATCGAGTTATTGTGTAATAACCTATTTAGTTGTTGTCGCAATATATTTTCTTGAAATGTTATGTTTCTTTGCCTTTGTCTTCGACATATTTGCAATTTTCGCCTGAATTTCTTTGCTTCTTCAGCATACCGAGGCTGTTGTGAAAACGATGATAATTTTTCGGCTTACAGCCAACTTTTCTCGGAGGAAAGGAAAAATTGTTCACAAAATTATTCTTTTAAAAGTATTAGAAAGTCATCTCTCGATTTATGTTCACTCCCTTAAATGACAAAATAAGCCTTAATTTAAATTTCAAACTGCTTCTACTTTTAAAAGGCGGTTGCCCCAAGACACTATGGTAAGCCATTCCCAATTTGTGATCCGAGAGACCTGAGGCTGTTTGAACCGATAAATTGTTTGGTTGGGAATCACTCCGAGCAAGCCAAAACCAAAGGTTTCTAAAATATTTCTAGAGGTCCTGCGCCTCTAAACACTAGTTTAATTTCCATTGACCCCTAAACATAGTTCACCCAGGTCATGCCATGTTATTAGGTACTGGTGGCCATTAGCATCTGGTAGGTGAGTTGTTTGATATGAACATGTGGCAGAGAAAATCTCGCTTCCATTCAAGTGTTTTAGGCCTAAACTCCATTTAGGAAAACCAAACGTTTGACGGCAAAATGTCATCCAAGGTAAGACAATTGCCATATTGGTATTTCATTAAAAAAGTTGTTTCGTGCAAGCTATAATTTAAGTATCTAATTTTCCGGGTTATGCTATTCTAACTGTAATTATATCTGTGGTACACTATCGTCTTCTATAAAAGGTTAGGCTTATCCCCCTTCAATTTCATTTTCAACGATACTTTTTGCTATCAAATATCAAACCATACTATTCGATTGAGATCTTCATTGTACTGCATTAAACTGTATACATCATGCTTTCTGCAATTAAGGTTATTCCCTCTTCAGCAGCTGCTAAAAAGACTAACACATTTTTAGGGGATGTTTGCGGTGGGTGTGTCTTATGTGTGGGTGTGTGTGACCATCAAGGCTCTCTGTCGATAATCGAATCTAAGCTTATTATGTCAGTTCAGTGTATATCTGTAATTTATATGTAAAATTCCTTGCAAGGCCGAAATGAAATGTAGAGAGGCAACCAGAAATGTTTCATAAATCCCAAGCATTGGTTGTAGTGGGGGTGTAACTCAAAATTTTATGCAGAGTCAGCTATTGACAAAGAACTTCAAGCATTTGGGTTTGGGAACTTATAGACAATTATCATTCACTATCATTCGCTATAGTGATGGCACATCTGGTTGTTTAGGGTGTTATTTGCCCACCTGCACCTAAGTGCAAGCTTTTGGTGCACCCATGATATTGCTAGAATCAGCCATATTCTGCAAACTGGTTGGTTCATTGCACTTTAAACACATTTGGCTTCAAATCAGCATAGTAATTCAAGTTTTCCTGATCTTCTTTACAACAGCCAACCCTGTACTCTTACTTCAGAAGTTCATCATCATGGAGGGTCAGGATTGGTATGCCTAAAAAATTTCCTTCTGAAGCCAACTTTATCTTCCATTTCTTTTTCCAGGCAGTTCTCTTTAATTTTTTTGCCAGTTCTGCTTCTCGTAGAGTTAGAATAGGTAAGAATTTACCTTTTGGTCAAAATAATCCATTATGAAACTAATTGTCTTTATTTCAGTGGTAAGATCATAGAGAAATTTTTGATAGGTATATTTTGCAACAATTGTACAAAAATGAAGCTACAGTTAATGAAATTTGGCATGTTTGTAATTAAACAATCTTTGTTTCCTCTTTTTTGTGAAGTTAGATGCCTGTTAATATATTTTAACAAATTTTTTCCACAACAAAGTATCCTTGTCACTTTTTATTTTATAGCACTGGCAATAAAAGAAATTGAGTATGAATACAAAGCAATTCATTTGGTTAAGGGAGAACAAGTATGTTCTAACGCCTTCCATTTCTGTTGATTTTCTGATAATTGAATCATTAGTTTTATTGACAATGACCTTTTAATCTTAACAAACAGCAGTGGGATGTGCAGTGTACTTGTTCTAATTGAAGGTTCAAAATCAGGGGCCACAATTGATTCAAGTTGATGTACCTGTTATTCTGTCTACAGCATGTAGAGGACCAATGTTAATTGAACACTTTTTGGTGTACAGTGACCTGTTTGTTAAGCCAAACATTAATTCATTTTATTCATTTGTTTAGATTGTTTCTAATTGAGGTTTATAGTTTGAAATATAAAATTTATCATTAGAAAAACAAATACAAAGAAAGAGTTAGTTACTGTCTGTCTTGTATCTTGTTGAGCTCTGTGATTTGTTTTAAAGTTTTAAGACCATTTATCCAATCAATGATAAATGACAGAGTGAAGAAATTGGCTGCAGAAAAAAGTTATGTAACTGGTTTTTTTTAAAACTTGTTCTCTTTGTGAATGATATAGGAACATTCTTATTCTTTTTAGCTGGCTGATAACTACAAAGAAATAAATCCTCAATGCCTTATTCCCACTCTTTTGATTGATGGCCAGAAGTTGACTCAGTCTGTATGTTTAAATCATTTTTATATTCAGCTTGTAATCGCTTTTTAATTCTGTAGAATTAATTAATAGATTTCATTAGAACATTTCAATAAAGAAATTGTGAAAGAAATGGCATTCCTGTTAATTTTTCACTTTAGTTTTCAATCTTTTGTCCACCTCATCATCTTGATACATATTAGAAAAATATACTTCATTAGAACTAGTCTTATAACATTGCTGTAAGGTTTTGTAATTTTTGGCAGCTGAGCATCATTGAATACCTAGATGAGACAAGGCCAAATCCACCACTGTTACCAAAAGATGCATTGAAAAGGAGTCAAGCAAGGACATTGGCTTTGATTATTGGAGCAGATATTCAACCAGTCCAGGTTTGTTTTCATATATGTCATCAAGATTGCCCAATACACAAAATGTTAAAAAATTTCCAGAAAGATTTTATATGAATTTTCATTTCTCAGGGGAGTTCGTAGGTTTTATACATACCTATGGAGATGTGACAACCCTCTTTTAGGACCAAAACAACGAGAACATTAATTTACAATGTTTTTAAGCAGAAGAGCACCCTTTCTGACAAAAATTCCACCCCTTGAGGTAATGCTGGCTTTAGGCATGCATCATGTTCTTCATTTTGCTTTGAAACAAAGTTATTTTTCTATGATTTGATACAAGCAAGCAATAAAGATGCCACAAATCTTGATAAATATTGCCAAAGATTGATATAAGAGGAGGTATGATGGAAAATGCCTTGACATTTTTAAACTTCTGATTCTAGACTCAGGACAAAATATTTCATTGTTATTATTCCGAATTATATTCAGCAGATGACTGTATAGTTTGAGGATAGATTTTCTGAGTTTTTCTCTTTGAATTTTCACATAATTTTGAGTCCTCAGGGCTGCGGAGAGGATTTATGGGCCCTGGGTCAGGACAAAAATATAAATAGAAACACATGCCTAAAGCAGACACTTCTAAGGGGTATGGGCAATGCTCCTCCTGGAATTTTTGAAATTAATGATTGCTTAAATTGCTCTCGTGGGTATTTTGGTTGCTAAAGTTGCTATGATGGCTGTTTTGGTTGCTAAAATTGCTATGGTTGCTAAACTGCTTTGGTGGCAGTGGCATAGATAGAAGGGGGTCAGAGGGGGCAAAAAACCCCTGTAGAGATATTGTCAGAAAACCTCTGGTCTTGTCGGAAATTTTTGGTTGTCTAGGTTTATCTAATTGCTATGTTTTGATAGGAAAGAATTTAAAGCTGAATAAAGATAAAAATATCTTAATATATCAAAAGATTTATTTATTCCAGTTCCAAAGTTGTTATGTTATGTTAAAATTTATGAAAAATATAAATGCTTGTTAGATTTTTGTCAGAAAATCGAAGTTTCTCACCCTACTACAAATTTTCCTATCTACGCCATTGTCTGGTGGCTATTTATTACTTCTGTTTGCTGTTTGATATAATTTGAGCATAACTGAAATCTTAACACCATCATGGATGAAAATGAAAATTTCTTTGAAAATGTTTCAATTTAAATGGAAAATTTTTCATTCGTTAACTAAATTCGATAACAACCGACACACTGTTGCAAATAGATGTGCATGTCATAGTGTAAATCTTTATGACATACATATTGCTGTATGTTGCCCTGTTGGAATCACATTTTTTGGTTACATTCAAAGATGAAAAATTCTTAACAAAAATATATTTAACACTCAGGCAGCCAAAGAATCAAACTGCTTCTACCTTACTTCATTCATAGACTTTTGTCACTATTGTCTCTACTAATGACAATTTGTGGTAATGGAAAGGTTGGATTATCACTTAGAATTTTTTTAATTGAATTATTTTTTATAGGCCCCTATAACAAAGGGCCCCTGGGTCAGTGACCCCCCTGACCCCCCTCTCCTCAGCACTGGGTGTCTAACATCTTTTGCAATTGCTAATTTTCTTTCCAAATAATTGCGTTTTTCAGAATTTGCGAGTTCTCAAAGCAGTTGGTGATGATAGAAAAATGGAGTGGGGCAAAAATGTTATTGATAATGGATTTGAAGGTATGTTTATTTTTGTAAGCATTCCCTTATGTTACTTAAAGTAAGATAAAGCATTCCCTTAAGCTAAGATTGCTATCAGTTTTTAAGCTTTCAAAAAACACAGAGAGAAGGTGGGATCTTTGGTAGATCTTAAATGGGGTCCCATTTCTCTAGGATTTTTGTAGGATCCTGCAAAAAATTTTACCAGCAATATGTAGGTTTGAGAGAGAAAGAAAAACGTTATTAAGGATAGGATTTTACTATCAAAGTATAAAACAGCAACTTTCTTTTATCACTATTTATTCTATGCAAAGATAGGGCACTCATATTTTAACAAAAACTTGTTTTGTAACTCAAAAATAGGTCAATATATGAAAAAGGCATTTAAATTATTATCAATTTTTATATATTCAGATAATATATTATATGAACAGATAATTCAGAAAATTTTTATAATCTTTAGTTTTCTTCAAAGACATCCATACTCTCAAGTTCATAAATATTGTGTCAATGAAGAAAAGGCCACTGTAGCAGGCTGCTCGACGGGCTCCAAGGAGTCCTTGCGGCGAAAAGTCGATAAAAATGTAGCAAATGTGAAACAAATAGAAATAATTGCCCCGGCCAGGGCGAAATATTAGCCTTTACTGATTTTCGTGTTTTTATTGTTGTTTACTCTCGACGTATTGCGGTGTTTCATATTTGCTACATTCATAAATATTGCTTTACTTTCTGTTTTGAATCTTTTTCTATAGTTCTTTCAACCTTTATTTCTGGGGACATGAGGCCAAGGTAACTATTACAATCCTTTCATTTTGTTTCACACTTATGTACTTATTTGTCTCACGCATTTAATTTTCCATTTTAGCATTTGAAAAAGCATTGCAATCCACTGCAGGCAAATATTGCATTGGTGATGAGGTTTGTAAAGCTTTTGTTAAAATCTTTTTCTAAAATTTTTAAATGTCTCTTGGAATTTTTGGGCTTAGACCTTGATATATTTTGAAGTATCAATGCCTATTGGACAATACTAAACAAACATATTCAGCCTTTAGGCCACAGAAGCTGAAAAATAACTTTAAAGATCAATGCTTGCATTACCTCACAACCTAATTTCAATGTCAAATTGTCAGAACATAATTTTTTGCTGTCAGTAACAATCTCCTTCAAAAATCTTTCATCTTAAAAATATATAAGAATGACTCTTTTCATTCAACATATCATTATAAGTCTACATCTCTCTTTTCTTAAGTCAGTCTTGAAGCATTACAATAAGGACGCATTAGAAGTCCATTAAATCAGGATATAGTAAAATTTTAATGATTAATATTTCATAGCTTTCAAGGAGATCTAGCTATCTTATAAGGGAAGAAGAAGTTAGGGGGAAATTTGCAAAATGTTTCTCTGATTTTTCTTTGCCTAACAAAACCTTTTAGTTGTATTGCAAGAAGAAGTTGTATTGCACTAAGCACTAAGTAGTAATTACAGTTGGTTAGTTTTAAAATTCCATTTGTTAACCCAACTAGTTGAAGTTGAATTTTGATGCATTATTGAAATCTTAAGTTGGGGAAAGCAATAAATTTGTAAATTTACTCCGGAAAAATTGACTTAAAATGTTCACCTTAGCTTTTTCTTTACCCTGCATTCCTTTTCCCAGATAACGTGGGTTTGGAGCTAAGTTAAAGCCAACATTTTATCATTTATATCAAAGCAAACATACTGTGGGGCCGCAAAAGTTAGGAAACGGTAGGTCAAAATGGCGGCTCACAGTGACCACGGGCTTAAGCCGACCAATTTGAAAAGCAGAATTATGAGGTAAAGGGGCTTGGAAACGATAGGTTATGGCAGGAAAATGCATTCGCCATTCTTTTGACTTTCGGTTAAAAGTAAATATATTGATTGGTTTGCTGTTTTGAGGGGAAGAAGTAAGCAAAACTTTGAAGCATTGCTTCGAAACAATTCCATGAAAGATTTTCTGAGTATTCATTAAAGATGACCACAAAGTGTCAAACGTTTCCCTAACATTTTACTCAAAAAACAGAAGGGTAATCTTTCGAATCCATTTTGATTCAAAAGTCGTTGGATTTACGCAAACAATTTTGTGACAAAAACGTTGGTTACAAAAACCCCTTAGTGCTGAACTTCTATTCTAAAAACCTGTCGGCTTAGGTCTTTGACTTCTGTGAGCCACCATTTTTAGCACTGTTTCCATACCTATGTGACCCCAGTGTACATTAAAGTAATAATCATAAAAAGCTGACATGTACAATAAAAGTCTTAAGTAATCCATAACTCCACCCAAAGTTTTACCATATAAATTTATGTTTTGTGTAGAAATATCCAGTAATTGTGACTCTTTCACTTCAATAGTTAACCTTTTCTGTAATTTTCAGCTGATAAATCATTGCCATATTTCTAAATCCTACAGTCATTTATATTTTAACATGTACTGTGTATTTCAATCAGTCCTGTTATCTTTGGTTCAATAGGTCACCATTCCAGATCTTTTTCTTGTACCTCAAGTGTACAATGCTAACAGGTATGATAAAAGCAATTTTCTTTTTGTTTTACTCCAAATTGTTCTTCTTCAAATGTCTCATGTTTGAGGTTTTTATTTCTAAGCTTTTCACAGTTTTATAAGATCTATAATTTCTGCTTGGATTTAGATTTAAAGTTGATATGTCAAGATTTCCTACAATTGCAAGAATCAATGATGAGTTGTCCAAATTGGAGCCATTCCAGGTGTCACACCCATCACAACAACCAGACTGCCCTGAAGAACTGAGATAGAATTGCTTTTTTCAAATAACTGTAAAATTAGGATTTAGGTTTTCTTACTATTTATATTAAGAAATATATATTTATAGATATATACCAAATAGAGTTTCATTCTCATTTCGACTCTAGGATAACAACACTATAAGAAATTCACAGTTCTGAAAACTTGAAAAATGTTTTGCTTTACATTTTACAATCAAAAATAAAAAGAATACAGTAATAAAACTGTTTCATAAAATTAAAAAATTGAACTGAATCAATAGAAAACTCCTTTTGTAAGAAATGATGTTTTTGGGCTTCCCGTTTTCTGCATACTACAATCATTGTGTAGTAATGTCAGGTACCCACAGGCAGTATTGTGCACAGCCAGGAAGATTATACTAGCAGACTACAATTTGTAGTTCCAAGCAAAGTTAGTGCTGCTTTTGAAGAATACTAAAATCTCAATTCGAATTAAGTGTTTTATAAATATTAACTAAAGGTCTTTATGAAGACTTTTCCCCCTTTCATGAGATAAAACATATTGTCAGCTAAACTTTTCTGTTTGAATGTGAAATTACAATTAATAAATCAAACTCGACTAACTCTCTCTTGCATCTGTACAATATTAACTGTTCAAAATACTTCTACGCATATTCATTTACATCTCATAGAATAAAAAATTTTGAGATATTTTCCTTCATATGTCATATAACTTGAGGACTGGGTGAATCATAAGCGCTGTAACTTTTCGTTGAAAGTAAAGATCTTCTCTCATCTTTTTCAATCTGATAATCTGGTGCTTGAATCTAAAAAAAGGTGAGATTATAATCACGCAAGCATAGATTCCCTCTTTAGTCTTTTTTACATTAACATTCGCATAAGCTTGTAAAAGAGTTAAGGCGGTAAATTCTGCATCCAAATTATGAGTTTTAGTTTAGGAACACTATTCTCTACGGTACATGATTAATACCAATGATTCAAAAGGTCACATTATAGAAGATATCAATAGGATGAACAAAGCTTCATTATTTTGTGAATAACCTGCATGTGAAAAAATCTGTTCAGGACATTCAAGTGCTTTATTTTGTCAATACATTATTTCCAACTTCAAAAAAGTTAATTACCACTGGGTATGATGATGATTGACGAAAACAGCGTATCCATGACAGGTCTATCAGCTGGTTGTACATAGCAGTACCAATTAGTAACAGCATGAATCCATCAACTGTAAATACAAGTGAAGCATTATTATTTCTTTAAATCAAGGACCTGTGTACATGGACAGATTTACCAGGGGGGTTGTTGTGCGACACCCCCAAATTTTGTTGTCTTTTTCAGTAAATTCTGCTTCAATTTGTTAGAAAACATTTTTTTGTAGTCAGTAGTGGCAACATGAGGCAGAAATGTTATTTATCTTCTTGTCTTCTTTATCTTAAAGTTAAAAACTGAATTATAAAATGGGCGATTCAATCATTTCCCAGTCAGCAGATAGCTATCTTATTGCTGCAATCTTCTTTTTCATTAAACAGGACAACTGTTTACATTAGGCTAGAGCACTCAAGATGATGGGGGATGTCATTACTCCCTACAATAATTGCAATCAGTAGGTCGTGGAATAAACTTTGATTGAAAAAATCTGGTCTTTTTTATGATCCCTGAACTGGATAAGAGAACTAAGGGCAAGAGAGAGAATGTGGGTACATCAAAAAACTGTGAAGAAAGTTGTGATACGTAATTAGAAGGGGTGGTCCCAAACAACATTTAGAGCTTCCCTATGATTCAATGCAAAACCTCTCCTTACATGTTGTTGATTTTATCTTGCACCAATGAGAAGAACAAACTAGGCTGATTTTGATGCTTCTATAAAGTTTTACTCAAGACAATCAGTAAATCATCTTTCAAATATCTTTGAATTCAGTATGGCATGAAAAATTGTTGCTAGAAATTATTATAAAGATAGGTAATTTTATACAAAATGAATTAAATACTCTTTCACAACATAAAGTAAGGTTATAAGAAGCTGAGGAAAACCCAATTTTTTACTGTCAAACTCGATGTTTGCCACTTGAATTAACAACCAGAAATAAGTAGCTGTCAGAAATATCTAGAGTTCATCCTGGGGGCTGTCAGTGTGCATCTTCGGTGCTGCATCCTCCACATTTAGATACACCCCAACAACGTAACAACTTTAATGATGGACAAGTAATCTAATTTTTTTTAAATTGAAAATCTAGTTTATCATTGAGTTTCTGTAACCGGGAAGACTTAGAAGAACTTGCTGTTTTGTACCTGTATTGTTTGAATCCATTTAGTGGCTTTCAAAGAACTGAGTCCCGTTGAACAAAGAAGGTCAATTGTGAAATTATAGAAAAGGAAATATAATTTTATCGTTTGCAATTGTTTTTAGTCTCATTCCAATCAATCATTTGTGGTCCTCAAATCTGCTCTCCCTAGAATTTTCTTGAAGGTATCAAATAACCACGAAAATCCTCATTTTATAATAGCATGGAGGTTTTGCTATTTCCTTAAACGCTCACTTTTGACTTTCCTCAAACGCTTCACTTTCTATTTTCATTTCCTTCCAGGAGCTCTAACAAAGGGGGAGGGGGCCATGTCCCACCACTTTTTGCAAAAGATAGAGCTTTTTTCAAAAAATTTTTGTCATGGGTGTTAAGTTTTCCCTTGAATCCCCCTCCCCCTCCTCCATTTTTCAACCTTTGTCGGAGCCCATTTAGGGATCTAGAAGATGTCTATTAGATTTGTAATCTTATGCACAAAAACCTCAACTCACCTTGGAACATTCCATAGGTCTTGTTCCACACTTCCCCAAATGTCTTCAGATTGTTGTTGAAAAAAGAAAAGGTTTTTGTTGAATTTTTAAAGAAAAGAATGGTAATTACAAAAGGAGATTCGACTATGCAGTCCAATCAGCTAAGAATATATATATAATTAGTTTGAAAAGGAAAGGCATGCTGCAAAGAGATATCTGTAGGGTTCAAGGTATCCCCAGACAGAATTTGTGACATACAATGAACAAAATCTGTGAGAAGAAGCAACACCAATCAACGGAGAACAATACAATAAAAATGAGTTTTTAAAGTAAAAATACATATAAAATAATATATAATAATATAATATATAATATAAAAATGGTTTAAAGGACAAGTGACACGCTTTTGGCACCAAATTTTTTTTTCTTTTAACTTAAAGTAAAATGTTGTATGAGAGTGTTGTTGAAAAATTTTTCCTTTCTGATTTCATTTTCCTACTTAAAAACCCTTTTCAAATTATGGCGGGAAATGAATCACGTGACACCGTGACGTAGATTGTGATAATTTGTTATTGCTGCTACTGGTATACAGTGCAATATTAACGTTTACAACACGCTTCTAAACGAATTCAGTTCGTCTGGACCTGTCACGTCGTGTTTCGTAAACTCTCTATTAATTACAGGGAGATTCCGAGTAATCACAATGTACGTCATAGGGTCACGTGATAGAAAGCAAAATCGCGTCCCCTGCGCCCCCTGATTAGAATTTTTTGTTCTAAACCAGGAAAAACTTACTTCTAAAAGATGATATATAAGTTAATTAAAAGAAAAGATAGGGTAAAAAGTGTGTCACTTGTCCTTTAATGTTTTATCTTGGCAAACGAGGCTTCATCCCCATGGGCATGGTTGGATAAATGCAAAAATGTATGTTAAAAGTATTGTTTTATTATAAATTCTGATTATTATTGTCCGTGGCTACAATTTAAAACTTATATTTTGACTGTTGGAGGATTTCAATTAACATTCATGTGATATTGTTGAATGATTGACTCAATATTAATAAGATTGGAATCCTTCAGTATAGTTTCCGAACTTTAATCAAACAGCCATTTATAAACAACAAATATCCCATTTTAATTAGAATTTAACTTCCAATCATTTTAATGACATAAATGCAAAGAGACTACTGATAATAAAACAGCAAACATTGAAGAAAAGGTAAAGTACCACTTAATGCTAGAAATAAAATAATACACTGCTGAAACCAATTCATATATATTTATATGAAAAAATATTGCTCGGAAATCAATTTCTTGAAAGGAACACTTTGCCATACATTCACAACAAAACTGAGAGAAAGCAACTCTAAGATTTGTGATGTATCAAGCATGATATTTTGGTATGTTCTATCTTATTAAAAATGCCACCTGAAAAATGCAAAACACTGGAATAAAGAGAAGATCCGAATAAATGAATAGAAAAGATTTAATATCACTGTCAAATGAAAATCTAACGATCAAATGTGTATGTAACTCACCTCGTCAATGGCATAGTAGATAAACAAACTGACTACCCATACAACAAGAGTTCGACAAGCATCCAACAAAGTTCTGTGTACAGCTATTAAAAGGAATCAGTAAACGCAATTAATTTTAATAAATATGTCTTGTTATATAATTTTCTACTGCAACAGTACGCCTTGTTCTAATAGAAACAACAGAGACACTACATTTAAAGCTTTCGGCGAAGGAGGGGGCTCACAATAGTGGAATAACCCAGGGATAGCAAGTGGTAATGCTGCCTAGTGAAAATATTTGATATTGACAGAGTTATATTCTGTCTGACAATATGATACTGTATCGTGCAAACAAAGAAATAAGGAAGTGAAAGAATTAAGGGTAGGAAGCCAGGAACCCGAAATTGATTGGGTCCAGATAAAGTCCATCAGAGCTAAAACTATCAAATTTAGTTGTCATTAGCTGGAATAAATATTTGCTTTTCATGAGATTCAAGCCTTTTTACCATGGAAAGGTACAATTTTCTACAGGAGCGTATAGACATCTACATCAATGATACTATCCAAAAAATAACATTACAAGCGATCCTCTGAGGTATATAGCAATTTACTTTAAACTTATCTCTAAATATGCCATAACAAATATTTGAAGAATAAACCAAAACGATTTTCATAAGGGATTATACCAAGAGGTGAGATCTAGGCAAAGAGGGCCATCCCTCTTTCATTTAAACAGGCCCTAAGCTCACAATCGCATAATTAACGATTTTAAAGCAGAATTAAAAAAACAAAGTAACTAACAAAAATCAACTAAAATGGACAGGGAAAGAATCAGTTTATGCTGGTAATAAAACATTGCACGACTTAGTAGATCCGTTATTTTAAAAATGTATCGGATAAAAGGCGTAAATGAGAAATGAGGGTCATATTTTCACTCTTGAAATTTCCAAACCTAGAGGTCTCCAGTTTGCGTGGAAGAAGCAACCTTAGTTATGCAATGGTGGTACTAAATACTTTTTAACAACGATTTAATTTTAAAAAAGACAAATAATTTAAACAAAACTCGCACACCCCATATCTAAAAACGCGTGCTGGGTCGCTCACCGTTATAATAAGTATAAATCTTTTTACCACAATTTAAGTGAAAAAAGTATCTTGGTCAATCATAATTCAAATCTTTTTCGATAAATATCATAATATGGGCTTTCAAAACATTTTAAAAATAAAAGTTGGCATTGGCTACGTACCTGTCAATGATTTTGTAACACTTAGGCCAAAGAAATTGTAGAATGCAATTGAAGCAAGGTAAAGCACTGGAAAAGACAAAAAACGAAATATAACAGTAAAATAGAGCACATTTTGAAACAGATGATGCCTTAAAAACATGCATAGCTTTTTACTGAGACACGTAAGATGGAATTTACTCTTTAGCAGCAAAATGCTACATAAACGAGAAGAAATATCCTGCCTTCGTTTTTATTAAGCAAAGTTCCTTGACGTTTCATTGTTTAGCTGGCTTTGCAGCCCTTTATTTCAGGGCATCCCAATAAATCATTTTCACCCGAACAATGATCATGTTTACCGGACAAATAGTTACAAGAAACGAAGACATTTTAAAGGTGTATCAATGATACAGTTTAGTAAGTTTGCCAGTACGTGATGAAGTTCTAAAAATCCCTCTGCATGCTTCTAAATCCTTCCTCTTTCCATACTGCTATGCTTGTAATACTGCTACGAGTACCTCAGAAGGCAATCGCTCATTTTGAAAAGGTTGAATAAAGACTTATGGATGTGTTTTGTATTTAGATGGAGTGTTGTCAAAGTGTGGCATAAGCCTTTTTTAAATCTCTCAACACAATCTTGCTTGCGCATGCACAACTGCAATTAAACTGAATTTTTCCGAATTGATACAAAAAATGTGCACTTTTTCGGTATAACTTAAACTTTACACACAATGAACAAGAATCAACGAAATCATCTAAACACGAAGCATAAATTTTTGAACGGTACATTTCTAAAGGGTACATTTCATTTCTAAACAAAAAACTCTGCATTACAGATACTCTACGAATGTAATATTTTACCACAAAATACTGCTAATTTTGGATTATTCCGAATCATGATCAAAGCATCGATGCTGTTTTCATAGCTATTATGATGTTGATTTCCAGGAATGAAGTAAACAACTGGCAGGACAAGCTAAAACAAACAAATAACAAAATATAAGCAAATGAAGCTTATCAACGGAATAAATCTTTGGCTTGTAAATCAAAAGATATTATTTGAACACTGTCACATTTAGCACATTCTAAATCGCTTGGTTTGAAAAAACGAGGGTTCTTCAAATATTCTTAAAAAAAAGATTAGAAAACTTTACTGTATATTTAGACAATCATTTATGCTCATGTAGACATTGATGAGGTGAAAGATTAAGTCATTAACTATAGATTGGAAAGCATAATTTTTTATAGAAACATCAATATAAGGACCATAGCGAGCAACATAATGTACTTGATGCACATTATGTACATAATGTAGTAGTTTGCAGACAGACTGTGTTGCGATATCTTGTCAGTAGAGCCATGACACCCCATTTGTAGCCCCAAAACACAAGCACAACTGCATCGATCATTGGATAGCGTTATCATAAATTCTCAAATTAGCCCTTGAAGTTTATCAATTTGTTTTTTTTTATGTTTGAGCCGATTCAATGGGGGCTGAAATAAGGGCCTTGAATAAAGCTTTGCCAATTGTTTTGAGTTCACTTTGAGAAAATAGCAATATGCGAATTGATGAAAAAACTTTGAGAATGCTTCGTATATTTTTTTTTTATTTTATGTGAAAAAGGTGTTTTACTTTATATTAAAATCGTGTACTCGTCTTGCAAAAATTTCCATGCTTAAGTGGGGAGGGGGGGTTATTAAAGGATTGTTTTTATTAACAAATTTTACTTCAAGGGTGCTAGCTAATCTAAAGGGGCTCGTAAGTAAAAATTTCAGGATAGCACTTCTTTACTTAACTTCAAAGCAATTAACATTATTTTTCCCACTACCTTTTATCAATCTTGTGTAACTGAACATTTATTTTTCTTATCTTAAAATATTTTACTTACAGCCACCATGAAAATTATGCCATAAAAACCTTCCATACCAACAACCTAAAAACAGGACGAAGACATTATGAAAAGAACATCCGTTTTCAATAGTTGAACTGTTTCAAAAAGGAACGTTTTATAGGAACATTTTAGAAGAATACTAGATACATACAAATATTTCAAAAGAAGAATCAAATAACAAGCTAGTTCTTTGTAGTACCCAAATGACCCAAAACTGCAAAGTTTGCACCAAACGTTTTCAAGATTCATAATTAAATATTGCCTCTGTTTGGCACTTTAACTTATGTGATGTATAATGATAAATTCAAATTTGAAATTTGTGCTTGCTTGACAAAAAATTGTGATCAAAGGTAAACTAATTACCCAAAATTATCTTTGCTGTAAGATCCCGTTGATATTATGTGATTATTTTAAAATCAACTCATGAATTTTTTATGCAACAAAAATTTGAGCTAAAATCAACTTGCAAATTTTTGCAAATAGGCGAAGAAACGTATTTGAACAATGAGGCAGTTATAAGTCTTTTGCTATTAAAACGCTTGCTACAAAACTTAGATAAGATTAATAATTACAATCAATCTAAATCAAATCATAAATATGACTATACTTACATGCAATGGATGAAAATTCCGTTTCTTTAGAAAGGTTTCCTCGATAACCATCTGGGTGGCACTCACTATCTGACTGCTAACTATCAGAATAACTCCTATAGAAATTGATTAAAGAAGCCTTTTAGCTGACTTGTAAAAAAGCTGCAACCTTTCGCAAGGCAGAACCTGTCAGCCATCAAATCATTATGATAAATATCTCAACACACAAAGAAAGGTCTTGCAACTCACTTTCCATTATTTTATCTTTCCAAAAACTAATAAAAAATGATTATTTTCAGGCTAAAGTTGCATAGTTGACAACTAGTTTCTAGCTAAATTGTTACTTCTCAAGCTAATTACTTTAAATGAAAGAGAATCAAATCAAATAAGCTTGTCATGCAGTGGCTGAAAAATCGGAAAGTGGACAAAGGGTATCAAAGAATAGCTAAAACATTGCTCAAATATAAATTTATTTAACATCTCTAAGGCTTATGTATGTTTGCATACGGGACCAGATGCAGCAAAGGCTAAGACCAGAGTCATCATAATTATCATGAAATTGATACATTTCACACTAATGACAGAAATCTATCAGCACTATCAGCAAATTCTTCTAAATGTGTTTGATTAATCATGTTATAAGATAATTCCATCCAGATTCAATACTGAAAATGTGCTTTAAAACTTTTCTTAAACTGATTTACAACAATACAATGTTACAAGCTGCAAAAGGTTGCAGAAAATGACAACCTACACCCCTGCTAGGCATGGCATCTAGAGACAAGGGTAAAGATTAGGTAGCTTTGCTTTAAGGTAATTGATGCAAAATGATAGGCGTGAATTTTGAGGGCTGGTTAATGTAAACATTATAAATATATATGTGATAAAGAAATTATCAAATGCATATAAAATATTCTTTATTGATAGACTTTAGACTTACCTAAAATTGTATGCCACTGAGACACTGTATGATTTTGCCGTAAAATTGTTGAAAGGCCAACAAGAAGAAGGCCTAGCTTTTGAGCAAAAAGAAAAAAATTGATAGGGCCTTGCATTAAATATTATAGATTAAAAATTTAGCCATTTAAATTGGATGATCAGAAATTAGAAAAAGTCAACATCAATAAAATGATACCACATTTACAGTGAAAAATATTGATTTATTTACCAAACTTTTTGCAAAGTTTGGTAAACTTGAAATTTACCATCCACCAGCATCAAGATATCAATGAACAGCAATGTAATATGTTTTGACATACCAATTCAAAAAAACTTGAAATGAGCAAACCTACCATGGCAGTTCCCATTCCAATCCAATGAGTAGCTTTCAAATCTCTCTTCAGAAATATTTTCTGCAAGTAATTGTTAGAATTAATATGGATTTTTTACCTTGATATTTATGCAATTTTGTGCTGCTTCTCAAAATGAACAATACAAAAGACGACAAACAGATAACAGAATAAAAACTTACTACTTACTGAAAAAACCCCTGTAAAAACAATAATTGATCCTCTTAGCATCTGCCAAATTGAAGCATCAACATAGAGCAGACCAATGCCTACAATAAAAAGACTTAATAAACTAATACTATTTGCTAATTCATGGAAGAAACAGCAGTTGATGACAGAATGTGATTCTCGTGACTGTAGGATTAAACAACAAATACAGTTTTACTTAAACTTCATTGCTACAAAAGTTTTCTATTTTTCTATAGATATAATTCTCTAAGCCATCCCAAGTATTTTGGAAAACATAAACTTTAATTAGCCTTCATTTTTAGCTAGCTCCTAATGCCAATGGTGAATAACAATGATTTATTATCATTCATTCATTCATTCATTCATTCATTCATGTCAATGTCAACAGAGAGTTGTAGTGCAAGCACTTTGCTTACCTGAAAGTGTAGTACCAAACAAGTCACAAACTGTTGGGAGCATGAATATCAGCTGGCAGACCCTAAAGTACAAAATCAGGACCAAATCAAAATATCAGGATATGTATTGGGTGCAGTGGAAGTACAGCAGCACCTCTGATTGCTCATTTAAATGGCCAATCAATAATCAAAATATTGAAACATCACTTTAAGATTGTCCACAAACTGAAATGCTGTCCATGGACCACTGACTAGGAAAAATGACTTTCTGCAACAATTTATTACACAGCAAAGTTGATACTGAGAAAAAAAATGAAAAAGAAACTGGCATAGAGGGGACACTGATGGGAGCTATATAAGACTTTCTGTATTAATCTTTGCCAAAAAATTAATGTTTCTTTACCAAGCCTTTTTGTTAGATGCAATCTTATACGCTTGCTCAAACGTAACCACACAGATTTAATTGCTCAGGAAAAACAGTAAATTGTCCGAAACATTTCTCTGTAGATCTTTAATAAAATTATACAAGTCATTTCGAAATTTAGTGAATTTCATTAGCCGTTTCTTATGAAAAAGCCCTCTTAACAAAAATTACTCAGTAAAGGAGGCTTTGTGCTTAAAACAGCTCATCAATATAAGGAAATTAGTAACTTTGTTTTTGTTTCATCAATCAATTGAGATGACAATACCTTTGGTTTGAAGATACTTCTGAAGTTTGAGGCGCACCAAGTGGATCAACAAGCATCTAAGCAAATTAAATCATTTTCTTATTCAAGAATTTTCAATAAAGGCAGAAAGAACTTGGATATGCCTAGAGGGCACCCAATATTATGATTTGTGTAAGATTACCCCTTGGAAAAAATTCAGCCAATTCCACGTTGGGTTTTTGATACATTTTTAATCTAATAACTCTCTAATAACCACCAAGGACAGGGAAACAGGTCATCAAGCATATTCTCTAGCTGATTTGATTGATTTGATTGATAAGCGTTAATCTTCTGTTGAAGTATTATTTCCTGTTTTTTCTTAATAACTCATGCAAATCAACGATCACATTTCCATCCAAATTATCACATTGCTTAATCAGTTTTCATTTGCTTTCGTGAGTAGTAGATGTTCTAGCATGTCTTATAGAATGGATAACATAAAAAGGAAACAAAGTTAAATGTTCTACTTACAGCCATGTGTTTTGATGAAGCAATAAAGGTGAACATAACAGTAATGATAACTTACATATCTAGAAAAATCTGAACAATTTTGAGACTTTGTTTTATTATGTTTCTATATCTATATTAACCTGGTGTTTGTTGCATGTTTTGTTATTTCTTATTATGGTGCTTTTTGGTATCACCGTTGAATTTATTATTTACCAAAGCTATCGATATGAAGCTCTCAAGGACATTTTATTTAGAGGTGCGAAATAGAGTGCCTAAAGTTTCTAAGGGGCTCTTTTTATAGAGCACCTTCATTTTGCTTAGAGAAAGGCCTGAGGTAGCTATTGTATATCAGATTAATGTAACTTGCAGAATGTAGTAAATAAAATAGAAAATAGAAGAGAGATGAGCAAATATAAACTTGAGGGCTAAATACTTCAATCAACTTTTTGGCTTAAACTGTAGCTTACTTCCTCCTGTGCAGCCATTCTGACCTTCCTCCTGTGATAAATCAAGCCAATGAGGCACAGTGTTTCACCACAGAACATAATCAGTGTTTGAAACCAAGGATGGTCAAAACTATGATAAGCATTGCCACTCATATCCTTCAAGCCTTTTGCCCTACGGAAAAAAGCAAAGAATAACTTGTATTGCATTGTGGGCATTGCAGTAGCCACTTGTTAATGTCAAATTGTTAGTTATTACACAATTCCTTTACCTACTTGAGACACCTAACAAGGAAACCAAAAGACCCAATGACTACAATTACTAAAAAACAATAAAGGGCAAATGTGTAACATTTTGAATCAACAGGATTTTATTAAGATGAAATCTTTATGAAGAAAAAGTTTTATCTATGACCATGACAACAAACCAAAACTCAGATTTTGGGATAGTTATGGTAGCCACCTTCATCTTCAGGTACCACCTTCAGGTACCATCTTCAATCTTCTGATAGAAGATGGTACCTGATGATGATAAAGAAAGAGGTCAGAACACAGAAGAATGTTATATTTTATTAGAATCAATGATAGCTTTTATACAAAACAATTTGAGCTTTAGCCTTTTCAGACCATGTTTTTTAGGCCAAAGAAACAACACCTGCCCCTCTTTGGAACATCTCACCTACTTGTCATTGTAAATTCTCTGGTCAGCTACCTACCCATACAAAATTAATTGATAACCCTTACCATGCTTAACCTTGCTAAACCAGCCTATGAAGATAAAAATTGAGGAAAACACAGAAAAGTTGAAACATAGTATATTTAAGTACTTTCATACAGCACTCCCCAGACCATAAACACCAGATAATGACCAAAGGTAAGCAGGATTTAAAATCTGGATGCAGATCAAAACATAAGAAGAAGAATGAAAGGAAGAATAGGCCATGGTTAGGTCACATGTGTACAAAGGTTAGACACTATGTCAATCTAATTTTGCCCCCTTGTAATTTCCAGGTAAAGAAAATAACAATTTCAGAAGCAGCTTTAATGTCAGTAACATTAAGAAAAACAGTGAAATAGATTTACACTACATTTTACTAAAATGTCGTGCGTGTAGATCCTTTTCTCTTGGCAATGCCACAACAACAAAACATAACTCCATGCAAAAGATTTTGGGGATTTGCTACCTGGAATGCTCCTTGTTCTGTATACAGCAATCTAAATTCAAAGATTTGTGAGGACCTTGCCAAGCAAGCTTTGTCTGTCTCATGTCTTTACAAATACATCATTGTCAAATTATCACAGCCTTCACTACTGTGACACCCATGTGCTCAGGATGGTTCAAAACTTTGCTCAGGTAGTCCCTTTTGTAACATAAAAATACACAGAAAATTTCAGCTCAGCATCTTGTATCATTTCCAAGTTATCAGATGTTATATATTAATTCCCATACCCTTATGCAAAGAAAGCCACCACCCATTTTTTACAAGAAATTGGAGTAGAGTAATGGTCTGTTATCAAGTACTATACTCAAGATGCTGTTGAAATTATGCAATCTCATGTAATTTGGTATGGAGATTTCAAATATCACATGCAAAATTTTCTAAGCTTCATAATTTTCATTCTACAGGTAATTTAAATTGAAATAGTTGGTCATAATTTTTTCGCAAACATAGCATTCTTTAAATGTAAATAGCCAAAATGAGCCCAAACATATCATGGTAAAATTTGGCATGAATCAAGTTGATATTATGCTTAAACAGACTGTGAAGTTTGATGATGGTGTTGTGTGTGCTTTAGGAGATACAAAAGGTTTAAAAAGTATATTTTTTGTGCTCTTTGGACATAGGCACTGACAAACTGCTTTGTTTGAAATTCAAATAATGAGCATCACTACTATATATACAATCACAAGGCAAAGGCTAACAGGAGGAAAATTCTCCTTCAAGACTTTACCCTGGATGACCTTAATGTCAATTTGTATGCTCTGGTGTGGTACCTTTCATTAATGATAGTGAGTAGCCTATGCATATTGCTGTTGCCTGAAAGTCTTGTTCCCCTCCTGATACATAATCATTTGGCTTCTTATCTTTCCACGATATGTAGAGAATCTTTCTGTTGGTTGGCAGTTCATGCCTTGGGTTTTGAGCCTGTCAAAAATTTTGAAATAACTGACCCACTCAAATCAGCCACTAGCCCTTTCTTGTGTAGCCACAAAAGGGCATGGTAATCTCCAAATATGGAAAAAACTTTCCTATATGGCAAATATTCCTAAAATGAATTATCGAACTTTAAATTTACCATTGATAAACCACCCATCACAAGACAGGCCAGCAATTAAGCATTGCCTTCCTTCTTCGTTGTTACTTCCACCATATCCACGGATAAAACACAAACACATAGACAGGACAGACTCACTAGTTCACCCCTTATATTTTATTCTGGGGCATGGCTAACCACCCTTTTTTATTACAAATGCTGTTCATGGCTTGGCTGATTTTCTTGCTCAGAATGTAGTGAAAATATCCCAGCAATAATCGTTTGTGAGAACTCTACCAATCATGAAAAATGAAGAACTGCCCTCAAGGTAACAAAACTGCAGAATGTTTACGTTGCTGCGTGGTCCCCTCTGTTTAAAAGCCAGCATCACAATAAGACCCTATGTCACAGAAAGAGCCAAAAGGTAACCAAACCAGGATCTCATTAACTTGCAGCTTTGGGGCCCTCGCGGTTCTCTAAGATCTCAGGGTCATTTGAGAAATAGAACAAAAAGACATGCGTCCGAGGATTAAGAAATAATTATCGTCTGCCATGAAACAAAAGCCAAACCAAAGGAAGATCAAAATGTCAACACGCCCTAAAACAACCCCTGGACAAGCTTACCCTTATGGATTTTGCTTTACAACAGGTTCAGTCAAGAATTGATAACATTCATTGTGGTTGTAATACAAAAATACTTCAGTTTAAGTTGGAACATAATTTTCAAAGTTCCGGAAAAAGTAGGTAATCATTGATTACCTTGATTAGCCCAAGCCACAAGCGTAGCTTGGGCTGTGCCCTTTGCTTGATGGCTGTGCTATATGCCTATTTGTACAAGCAATTTCGCTTTAATTTCTGATTAACTGTGACTTGATTAACTGTATAATTTTTTTTTAAATAATCAGTTATTTTAGAAAGAATTGTTGGGCTGCTGTTTTGACTTCTTCAATGTCAAGCAGAAGGGATTTGGGTGATCCGGACCCCGATCTTTCGATGATGACAAGCATTTAAAGTAGGAAAGCTAAAGTGAATAGAATACAATCTTACGAGCAGTCGTTTTGAGCTTTCTTTGACAAAGTATTGATTGATCCGGTGATGAGCATTCCTGCTGCAAGAAATATTTTGTACCATGGCAAGGCTGCCATTGTCGATAACGGTTTTGTTTCACTACTTGGAAAAGTTGAAAATCAAACCCATGACAAACAATTGTTGTTGTGTTGTTGCTAAATGTTGTTGTCGTGCTTCCGCGTGACTCTCATAAAAATTCACGTGATTCATTAGCGACTGTGTTTAGTTCAAAATTTGCAACAAGGGACAGTTTCATACGCTAAAAAGGAGAAAAAATCGATCCCAAATAAAAAATTTTCCCATTGTGCTAGTTTTAGATTAGGATACATGGCCCCAAACTGTGAATGCTACAACCCAGGTGAAAACTGTCTCCTTGTTTATAGGGGACATAAGGGTTTATAAGGGTTTAATGTTTATAAGGGTTTATAGGGGATATAATTAGGGACTCTGGCTTAGAACCTTACTGCAAAACAGATCATTGCCCTGGGTACAAGAGCCACATAAATTTGAGAGCGTAAACAGTAGATAGGAGTGGAGATGCGGAGGAGCGTCTATCTGAGAAGAAGGGAAAGTGGCCCTGGGCTAACCCTCGCCAATTCTCGTTCTGGTATCTAACCCATTTTCCGAGAAGAATGGCACGAAATTGCAAATCAATTTCGGAATCAATGGCCTCATAATGCAGAAACTTTATTGTACCCTGTGAAAGCAAGCCAAAAAAGGTAGCTTGCTATAAAATATTATTATCACTTATCAGGCAGCTTTGGCGCTTGCTCTTGAATCCAGCACTTATTCTTTTCAGCGACAAGCTCTATCCAATATCTACAACTTTGGCACTTAGCTTTTGCACTTAGTTTTTCGCTTATTGCAAGTATTTTTCACAGTATGGATAGCAGAGACTTTAGAATGGAAAAAACTCGAGGGGCTGTTGGGAATTCCAATTTCCTGCCATGCCTAGCAATTTATTTTATGGATTTAAGCGCTTAGGTTAATCACGTACGAGTTACTGTTTTGGTATTTGGTATTTGGTATTGACGTAAATGCCTCACTTTGGTAATGAGGTGCATTAGCTGACTTATATACATTTATAGTTGTAGTTTTATTATTGGTTAACGTATAGAATTTTCTAGTATTTAATTGGCTCTTTTCTGTTTTTTGCACCGAAAACGTAACATGGTATGTAGTAAAAGGAATGTGATGCCAGTTGCCAGACTGTAGGCAGATTGAGTAGAACTAGCTTGAAGTAAAGATATAACAAAACGAATGAAATTAAGAGCAGCTAACGGAAAACTTTTTCTTCGCCGACTTCTACGAATGTCTATGAGATAACAGATAAGAAATTTAGAAAGTTTCTTAACAGGGGAAATTCCGATACCCCATAATGAGAACGCTGGGCTCAAGTTCCTTGCCAGATACTCCTCGTCAAGGGGTTGGTAGCCGTATTGACATTTCCTGTGACGCAGAAGTTGCTAAGGAATAGCCAAATCTTGGGATTAGTTTTAATTACTGTGGTTAAGTTAGTTTCGCATCTACTCTTTGGCTTCTGTTTCTGTAATTTTTATCTGTAACAGCTAAAGCTGTGGTAGTAATATTGATTGATAAAACTACGTTAAGTCGTAATCTTTGGGATGGTAATCAAATCCTATGAATCCAGTCAATCAAAGACGTCAGCATATTTCCAGTTGTATTCATCAGTTTCAAAACAAGAGGCTTTTACTCACAGATAAATCGGAAAGCGAGACATCAACTTGTCGATAAAAAAACCAAAAGCCTGTTAACTCTTTAACAGGGGCTCCAACACAAGTTGCAAATAGTGGAGGGCCAAGCCCCCCGGCCGTTGAAGGCCCTGTTTAAACCTGTTTACTACGTTCACACCCCTGTTCAGGGCCGACGAACCCAGTTTTGAGCAGGAGGGGGGGTCGGCAAAAGGAATAACAAGGGTACAAACATTAACTTTTCCATAAGATTGGATAGTGCCAAAAATGGACAGCTTTCATTGAAATTTAGAAATTTAGAAAAAGTAACATAACGTAAATGGCTATGGGCTCCATTCAAGGATCGCAAACTCTTGGACATACTTAATTGTATAATTCCTCATGGGCGTTGAAGTTCTTCGTATGTGTCAATTTTTCCTCCATGTATGCTCCATATTTTAGTCTTCATAATTCAATTTACTTATTTTTGTTTTGAGTTTTATTGCAAATGGAGGTGGTAGGTGCATTACATTCGACAAAATTCACATTAATTACAACATACCGAAGAAAAGCAAATCCACATTAATGCAATCACTCATATGAAAGTAATAGAAACTTACAAGTTAAACCGGAAATATAATGCACAAAATAATGAAAGGAATTATCGAATTTTCGGGCTCTCTCTATTTCAAAGCGAGCTTTCAGTCTTTATCCCCTCCAAAATTTAGCAAGACAAAAAACTGCTAAATTGTTATCTTTCAACCAATCGAATTCTCGAGATTACATATATTGCGTAGTAGTACGCTGGTCGACCTACTGTATTCTCTCAAATGAGTGCCCTCTCTCTAATGAGCGCTCCCTTTTTGAGCAAAAATTTGAATAACCGCCCCTCTCCAATAATGAGCGCCCTCCCCAAATATTATGAAAACAGATGGACAAAAGCAGATCATCGCAATTTTCAATTATCAGCTAATTTAAGAAAACCTATGTTAATTCAATTGAAAAAGGTTTTCTTCAAATACTGACAGAACCAGATAAAAATCAATTGGATGGTATTGAAAATTTAGATTTTCAAGATGCCACACCAGTATTAATAAAAATTGACGAGGATTCCGACTCTGAAGAAATTGATATCTTGTAAATGTCTTACCTTCAAAATGTGTGATGCAAATGCAATGTTAATATTTGCAAAAACAATGATCGTTTGAATTCGAAAGCTCAGTTTTTATTGGTGGATTTCTATCTAATTTCAATGAGTACACCCTCTGTGTGGCCAAAATATAAAATGAGCGACCCCGGTGTTCATTAGAGAGAATATGGTGTGTAACCGACTCAAAAGCAACTGAAGATGCACTCAACTGAAGATCGCCAAAAGGACAGTCTCCTTCGGGTCGATGTTGTTAGATGGGTGGTTAATGGTTGGAAACTGTCGGCATCAAAATGCATTCAAGCATTATCGAACACATTTCGGCTTTTTCGCGATATCCCCTTATTAGTAAGGGGATTGCAACCCCCAGCTCCTATATCTCTCGCGGCCTATGAGAATGCTAAAAAGAGAATGAGAAAAAATACTTCTGTTTGAAATAACCTTTAAACTAAAACCATTTCGATATCATTCAGCTTCATGGACATTTTTTTAACCAAAATATCCACATCATTTAGGCTCGACAAAACTTTTTATAACGATAAGAGTGGTAACTTTGAGAAAATTTTTTGTTGTTGGAAATACTTTACATGTACTCCTACCGTCAAATCTCAATTTTTCGCGATGGTTGGTATTGTCCAAAAATAAGAAAAATTCACAAGTATTTTTTCAATTCTATTTTCATTGTTCTACCATCTTATTTTCTTTATTTTTATTTATCGATAATTTTTCCATTGTTTTTCACCAAAACAGTGTTCTTTACACTTAAATTCATTCAATAAATAGCAATAAATTCAACTTGTTATTGCTATTTAAACTTTTTATAGTCAATGAATTCTGGTGACCCTAATACCATCTTGTAGCAGGTGGTGCAATACTTTATGAACGTAAGCGTAGTTTTGACCCGAAGAGTGATGCATCTACTATAGCACGTTCTTCTTAAAAGAGATGCTCTACCTTTCCAAAGAAATGGGTAAGGAGGGCTCTATACCCCTGAGTATCCGTTGAAAAGTGTTTCAGGAAAGTATCAGGAAACGTCAAAAGTCAAGAAAGCCGCATATGATCCTAGAATCGAGCATTAGTGCTGTGTCCCTTATTTTTGGTGCCATGATCAGTGAAAGTGGTTGCTGTTGCTTTAAGTGACATCACATGATTTTCACGGGACGTTGTTGTTTACTTCCCGTTGTTGAGATTTTTTTGTAATCAGCTCCATGCTGCAAGCAAAATGGGGAGTTTTCATGTTTGTCTCTTTGCATTGACAGCTTTTTTTATAGCATTCGTGGAGCCTTTCAGTGATTCGAGGCTTGAACTTGTCAAAATTTCAAATGATGGAGATACACAAGTCTCCATTGTTCTCCATAACAAAAATGGACTCTGCCGCTGGACTGTGTACAAGAAGGCCTTGCTCGTGGAACCACAAATTAGATCAAGTAGCTGGTATGACGTCTTGCTGTTGGAAATATATGTCTATTTATGTTTCAATATTATATAGAGCTAAGTTATTGGCATTGCGCACAGTGTTTATTAGTGTGTTCAACATGTCAGTAGTAGTAATAACAATTTGATTAACCAATAAATTAATATATTTGGAAGGTTTGTTGTATCCAGAAAAAAATTAGGATCTTTTCACCAAATCCTATTTTGGTCTGCCATATTCTGTATTAGAATTTCCTAAAAGATGGAAAGTGATTCGCAGTCTTTTTCGTTGGCTTTTGAAGGTTGCTTCTGTAAAACTACACACTTACATATACTTAAAACATGTGCTGTCTTAGCAACCGATTCTTCCTCATCATAGCCACAAAGAGTAGTTTCAAAAACAAAGCTTAAATAATAGCCCTTAAATGAATTTTCTCACTTGATAGGAATGGCAGGGAACATTTAATCTTTTTAGTGATAAATTCATTTCTTACAAGGCACAACTTACCTCTTCCAAATGGCTTAACAGCGGAATCAAGTCCATCAGCAATATCAGTTTCTAATGTTACAGCACTTGTATTCATACAAGCATCAAATGGTCAGGTCTACATGTCATCAGTGACAAAAGAAGAAGTCCCAAAATTTGGTGGCTGGTTGATGGTTGGTGGGACAAAGCTTGCATTTAATGATGGTAATTTATATTTCCAGTCTCCATATTATTTCAATACACATTTTAAATTTCTTCATCTCTCTTCAAGTTTCCTGCAATTTTTCAGAAATTGTGTAAGTTGAGAATGCTTCAAGATTTTGATAAATTGTAGGTTCAAAGCTGAATGGAATGGACAATGTTAAAGCAGCTTTTTATGCAAATAAGCCATATGTTATAGCAAGGAGTCGTACTAACTCATCTAAATGCTACTGGACATGCCTTGCTGATAACAAATGGTCGGGATGGAGTCTTATTGGTGGTGGATCTGTTGCTCTTCTGACTGATGTGTCAGTTGTCTACAATTCATTTTCTAAGGTAACACAATTTCTTTAATGATAAACTTATGGAACATATCATTTTAAAATACCACAAGAATAGAGGGGCAGGATGGTAATGTAATGAAAGCAGAGTCCTTAAGCAAAAGGTAAGTTTAAAGATGCCCTGACTTGCCTTTTTGTGTTGATTGAGCTCTTCCTTAGCCAGATTAGTTAAAATAACTTGGTTTTCTCCTTTAGTACCTGGAGGCATTTGCTGTCATGACAGATGGTTATATGTACAGAACATGGCAAACAGGTATTCAAATTATGTATAACACACCCCAGGTCATTTCTCTAGCACTAGAAACATGTTGTTATAGAATGAATTTTTTATTGAAGATTGAAAATGCAAGTTTCGTTTATATATAGTAATGTATAAGGAACACCGCAACACGACGAGAATAAACAGCAACAAACACACAAATCAGTGATGGCTAATTTCGTTTATATGCCTGCTTTTGCAATTTAGGGAACTATCACAGTATTCTATTCCTCATTTAACTGTTGCCATATGCACAAATTCTTATTTATTAAATAAAAATGCAATCTTTTAAACTAAACATTAGATGAGTTGTATCTGTTTAAAGTTTACAGGTCTGTGACAAATGTCTAGTATTGAAAATTTGTTTCTTTGAACCTGCATCTTTCATCTAAAAGGCTTTTCTGACTGGCATTCCTGGGACAAAACGGGCTACTATGCTCCAAAATCAGTTCATGCACCAGTGGCTCATGAAATGGATACAAATATGTTCAATGGAAGAATAAATGTATTTGTCCACGGTACAGATGGAAAAATGCACCATATTTGGCAGACAACTTGTGACAATGTCCCAAACCCATGGGGCTGGTGTACATGGAGTACTTGGAATACTATTGGAGAGAGTGTTCCTCCTGCAATGAACGTAGCTAACACTTTAAGCATTGCAAACAACATGCATCTAGGTATTGAGGTAAGAACATTGATTTGCTAGCTAGTTTTAAACAGCATTCTATTGTTTGAAAACTGTTCTGTTCTGTAGTATAAGAAACATTTTACAAACTCTTTCTACATAAAATTATCTGACACATCTCACTAAGCCATATGCCATATGCTAAATTTTTTAACAGGAGAAGAACATATCTGCAGTCAAAGGCTAGAATTTTTACTACATTCATAAACAGTTTTCCTCCATATGCAAAAAATTTATATGCACATGAAATACAATTAAAGATATTTGAATCTCATCAAGTCTCAATGAGTCTTGATCTTCAATATCATGTTGGCAATATTTTTCATTTAGAGGGGATTTGATATGAGAGTCATTGGAATCAAGGGATTTCAAATCATCACATGATAAGAGTGTTGTGTCAATGTCTTTCTTTTCTGCATCACCATCTTCTTCAGCTAAAGACACCAAGTTATCTGATCAGGTAGATTTCAATGGCTCTGCAACTCTTCTTTGCTTATTATTTGCAATGTTATTGGTGATAATCATAGTGGGTTAGGGAAACAACAGCTTGATGAGTGTTACCGTTTAGGAAAGAGAGTGATGACTTGAGCATAATTATATGCCCTTTTAGATTTTTACAGTAGACAAAAGAGGAAAGTTGAACTATATGTGGCAATCTGAACGACATGGAAAATGGCACAGTTGGAAAATTGTCACAGAAACCCAGTCTGCTGCTCTTGCTACCATTGCAACTGTTACAGATGACAAGACAGGGTGGTGGATTGCTTATGGAGTGAGTCTAGTGCTACTGTATCATTATATTCTATTGAGTAGTAGCCAGCTAATTGTCTATCCCTTGACTTGTGCAAGATATTTTATATTATTCCCTGTTCTATGTAAAAAAACTCCAGGAAATAGTATTTAGCTATATATGACAACTTTTATTTCCCACCTTAGAAACGACTTTTGGTGTTTAAAGGTATGTACTGTAATGGCAAGGTTAAGTTAAATTATGTTAGGGTTCTAAAGAAAAACTTGCAATACATGTAGACAATAGTGCGAGTAGGCATGAAACAAAGATACAGTTTTTGGTAACATCCATGTCTTTATTCTAGTTTCAATCAACTAATTTTCTCTCCGTGATCTCGGATATTTTAAATTTTCTGGATATTGTGGGAATAACTAGGTTAGATTGGCAAACATAGTCATTTATGTTAACTGCTTTTTTCAACAAGTAAACGTTGCTTGATGGTTTGGACTCTCAAATGCATTTCTTTTTATTCTTTCTTTTTAGCTTGATGCATCAGACAATGTTTTCTTTATTCAAGAAAAGAGATCTATTGTTGTATCCCCGACAAAGATAGTTTCTGGTGATGCTGTTGATATCAAATGGTCGGTTCCCACTGATCAAGCAACTCACATGGATTGGATCGGTAATTGGAATAATTGGAATAATTGGAAGAATTGGAGTTAATATGCATTCTCGTCAGTCCTTACGATACCACTATTAACCTCTGAAGCATTTATAATCTCAATGAAGCTTTAAAGTGATATACGCTTCTTGTTTAAGCATTCAATTCATGAGTGCTCCTCTAGTATTGTTTTTTCGCCTAGGTGTATACCAGAAGGGTGTTGACAGTCATGAGTATGTGGACTATTATTATGTTGGAGGAACCCAGAATCCCTACAAAGACCCTGTACCAAACGGGGAACTAAAGTTCAGCTCATACCTTCCTGCTGGTATTTATGAGTATCGATATTTGTAAGTAAAATTTATGAAGAATGTTTTATTTTCTTTATAATTTTAATTGTTTAATTTCTTTTTCTCACAATGTGCATCTGAGAGGTCTCATGGAAGGGTAGCTGTTGGTCTTTTGTTTTCATGTACAACATCCATAAGTCTGTTGTCAAAGAAGTTTTGTTGAAAGCTTTTTTGATTTTATGACCTTGCATTCGTAGATCTAGAAACGAAAATGTACAGCACAACACAAAAGCAACCATGAATAGGCTTCCATGTACTGGCAACAACATTAAACATGTTATGTTGTAAACAACACAGTACAGCATCCAACGATATTGATTGTTTCTTTGTCTAGCTGTTTTTCTGTTGATCCCTTAAGTTGGCGAATTTATGAAATCTTATCAAAGGAACTATAACAGGCACTGTTTATTCCAATGATATAGAAGCATTGTTGTCTTTATTTCTTTTAGAGTGAATAAGAGGTTTGTGCCCGCTGTACAGTCATCACTAGAAGTGACCAAGGGACCATCTGATGTCAAGTGGGTGCAAGTGTTCAGAGGCCTCTTCACTGGTCTGCACTTAAAAAATGTCAGCGTTGAGACTTGTGTCAAGGATGCCGAGAAGACTGTTGACTATTTTGAAAAGGCCTTCGCTGCATTTGAAGACAGGGAGATTTATAAAGGACTTCATCTGGTTGGGTATGGTTTGTCAGGGGCAACTTTAGCCATGAAAGATTGCCACATAGATTCAGCTATCATTGCTGCGATTGAAAAGTTTGTCAAGGATTTGATTTCCTGCATTGAAGGTTAGAAATTTTCAAAGAAATTTGCTTTAAAGCTCACTTCTGTCTAATATAGTGACAAACAGTTGGGAGAATCGTTGACATGCCCTCTTTTAGAATTTTTTTTCGGAATGAAATGGTTTGCATTGCAAATTGTATTGCAGTTGGTTCGTTTCTGAAATAGGTTTTCTTGAGAAATGTAACAGTTAACATCTGAGATCTGAGTTCTTCCGTCGATGAAATGTGGTCATCTCTTTCTTTGTAAAGACTCTTTCCAGTAACTCTCTGGTCTAATTGGCGATAAGAGGAAATAAGAGCAAATAAGGATTATTACTTTGGCTACAAAAATGAATTTGTAATTGGTCTATAATAAAAATTTCGAAGTGCAAATGGTCTTGCCATGGTATTGCAACTCTTCTTGTTTCTTACTTTTGCAGGCTCCTGTGTCCACTTTGCGATTGATGCCCTCAAAGAAGTCGTCATCCTGTTTGAAAATATCTATGAGATATATGGAGATATTCGGGGTGCCTCGAATTCCTTCAAAATCAAAGCCTACGAACAGGGTATGTTCAATTGAATGTTAACTGTCCTTTGCTTAAAAAAAAGTTGTACCTACTTTTTTTTCATCTTCAGGGCATTATCAAGCTGTTATAAATTGTGTACCGATAGTATTCTGTACTCAGATGTTTTCTGTATATTTGCTGTATATTTGCTTAATCCATGTAGAGAAAAAACCACAAGCCTGCAGTGTGGTGCAGTAGAAACCAGCACACAAGAACCTCAGCTATTTCTTTTAAGCCCTATTGGGTACTTACTCAAGGAGTATCTTTTAGCAAAACAGGGTTTAGGTTCTTATAACATTGGTCCTTTGTAACTGCTCTTTAAAGCTATTTGGTATATCATTATTTTAGATCCTTAATCCTTGCCTTTTTATTTCCCTACACTAGAAAATGAATATCTACATTATAAAATGTTTCTTGAATCTTTGTTAAATCGTTTGAATAAGAATATTTTTGCAAATTAGGGTCAATATGGTGTTGTCCAAAAATGCCACTTTTCAATATTCTTATTTAGTGAAATCACCCGAGATCTTAGAGCCAAAGTGGCGTCGTTTTTGTCAATATTTTGATATGCTATCTTTCCTTTCATGTCCTTTCAAACGAATATGGTTGGCTGTTTCTATAAGCATGTGAGAACCCCCCTTTTGCCGTGTCCAGTGTCAAAGTGGACTTTGCCAAACAGTGGAGGCTCCTGGGATACTTTTTGAGGGAAGACCTTTGGATATCGAGACCTAAAACTTTGCTCTGTTTTCTTGTGTTCTAGAGCATTAATGATGTGTAAATTCTTTAGTTGGCAAGGGTTACTTTCAGAGGCATCACCCCCGTCACTAGTCTTTAAAGCCCATCTCTGTGGCCAACTGCTTTCCAAATTACGATTCTTGTAACAACAAGTTACAAATCAAACCCTCAAATTATAGAATCTCAAACATATTGCAAAGTATACTTCGTAAACTTTTGTGCGCGCACGTGAACACGCTTACACACAACACATTCACGTTACATAGCCACTGCCAAAAACTTAGCCTTGTTTCCCAGGAGGATGGAACGTTGGTCGTGTGGTCTATTCCTGTGTTAATCTACGATAAGGAAGGTATTATGCTAGCTTTGCAAAGTTTATTCCAGTACATTTTTTATTCATTTCTTTGTCGTTTTAAGCATTTCATATTCTGTGACACCTTCATCTATACCTGCTATGCATTAGTCTTAGCAAGCGTCTTTGTCGCGAAGACAAAGAAAGTCTCTGATGTTCAATGCCAACGTTCGTTTCAAAAAATTAAATCTTGTCCAACAATGATTAAAAAAAATAAATTGATTTGATTTCAGGATGTCTCGTTTAAAATTTGTTTCCCTTTTTGGGGTGACACAAACGAGAAAAATGTAAAGCCTGAAATACACGATCAGTTTTTATCAGTTTTTAACTGACAGTTTATAGCTTTCAGTCAAAACTGATCGTGTATTTAGCAAAAACGGACAAAGACTGATGCATTAATGAACGTCAGTTTTTGACTGAAGAAGTTGAATACGTCAAACTTCATCAGTTTTTTTAAATGGTGGGTTTTTCTAGCCTTTTCTTGACGACCAAAGCTGACGTAGAATAATTCTATGACGTAGAAATGGATGGCTTTATATTGCTTCTCATAGGTCACGCAAAGTTCTATGACGTAGAAATGGATGGCTTTATATTGCTTCTCATAGGTCACGCAAAGTTCTATGACGTAGAAATGGATGGCTTTATATTGCTTCTCATAGGTCACGCAAAGTTCTATGACGTAGAAATGGATGGCTTTATAATTGCTTCTCATAGGTCACGCAAAGTTCTATGACGTAGAAATGGATGGCTTTATATTGCTTCTCATAGGTCACGCAAAGTTCTATGACGTAGAAATGGATGGCTTTATATTGCTTCTCATAGGTCACGCAAAGTTCTATGACGTAGAAATGGATGGCTTTATATTGCTTCTCATAGGTCACGCAAAGTTCTTTGACGTAGAATAGGATGGCTTTATATTGCTTCTCATAGGTCACGCAAAGTTCTATGACGTAGAAATGGATGGCTTTATATTGCTTCTCATAGGTCACGCAAAGTTCTATGACGTAGAAATGGATGGCTTTAAGTTCCTACTCATAGTTCACGCAAAGTTCTATGATCGAATCGAAATGCTAATCCGATAACCTTCACCTTTTTAACAGTGTTTTTCTTGTTTTTTTTCGTAGGTGCATACTGTGTTGGACGTGCTGTCCATGCATGTACTAATTTAAGACTAATTTAAGACTAAAATGAGAATAATACCCGCAATTGATGTACTGGAATGTCGCGTCTGATCAGTTTTGAACAATCCAATGAACTAAACAGAGGAAGTGGAATCTGGACTAGTTAAGAGTTAATGGTTGTTTGAGTGTAATGTTATGTGATGTGTATTAGCAGCCTATTTTTCAATAAATATACCATAATTTTCTTAATGATTTGCACTTGTTATCTCTTCTGGCTTTTCTGCCTGGGTGACAGTAATGCTTCAAGGGGTGTAGACAGGGCCGTCGCTAGCGGCATCCCCCTAGAAAATTCTTGTCGTCAAATTTCCGAAAAGTAGAGTTTTGTCGGGTTTTGCTTTCAAAGTTCCCAGAACAATAGCTTTAGCAAACAGTGGAGATGAGATGAGGATAAGACCGAAAAAGTATCACCCAAAAGCCCTCAGCAATTTAAACTAGGCATAGGCGTTTTTTGTGTAAGTTTGCTGTTACTGCGTATGTTTATGTAACTGTGCATATCTGTTTTATAACTAACTAGAGGATAATTTACCATAATGCGTTCACAGTTCTTTTATTTTATGCCGTGGGAAATTTAGCGTGTATTATATTTACTCAATTATTTCTTTTTGATTGTATTCCCAATACTAACATCAGTTTGTTTGTTTATTTTGATTACCATAGATACGTTTACTAATTGTAACATAAGGAAGTGTTTAAACTATTTTATTTAGATTGGTTGTGAGTTGTTGAAGTGTAGTAGCGATTTTGATTGATGAAATGTTATGTTATTTGAAATGAAGTTATCTCCTTGAAAATTGGAATCTTTACCGCGGAACCAGTAAAAATATTGTACAAAATGCAGCCAACCCTCCCCCCCCCCCAACAAAAAGTATGAAGTGATGCCCCAGGTTCCAAGTACTTTTGGCAGGCATTCTAGACAAATGAAAAGATGACACATAAAAGGAATGAACAAACAGGTTGAATTTTTGATTATTTTCTTGGCTCAATTTCAGAACATCATATGTATATTAGGTTCGCTTGAAAATATTACAAAAAGTGTTAGACTGGGATTGTTATTTTGAACTGCTATTAGATTTTCTTAGAGTTACAAATAGAATCATTGTTTTGCTGTTGCTGTGAGAACCATAACCGTCAATATTTGATTTGAACTGAGCATATTTTAACCTTTTCTTGCACTAGTTGGAGTGGCTCAAAAAAGTTTAACTGCCATACCCTGAACCGGGACCTTTTGGTTTGCTGGCCACCCTGCAATTATGACACTGAGCAAAACTGAAATATAGCAGAATTAAATGCTGAACAGTAAACCATAACTATACATTTTAACAATTACGTAGATATTTTCCTTCGTTTTGAATTATCTGCAATCACAAAATTCCTGAGAATGAATATTCGCAAGTTTTATCAATGATGATTAAAATCGTTACAGAACCAAGCCCATATCTATTACCTCACCCATTTTGTCGGTAATCCACTGGTTTTGCACCCCCCCCCCCTCCTATGAAAATTATCTAGCAAAGGCCCTGCATCATATCGAGATCCAACGAGAGATAAAAATACTCATTTGTATTTCTACATGTTCAGCCATGAAGGCGTATTGAAACAGGTGTTAGGCGGACTGATAAATGCGATTAGAAAATGTTGGGACATGGGGTGATATTTTGGGGGAGTATTTTTAATGAAGTGGTCCTCTGATTTTGAAACTTCTTTTTCATAGCAAGGGTTAGTCATAGGCGTTCGCAATTAGTAAAATTAACCGTTCATCAGTAAAATGCGCGTGGCCTAGAATATTTCAGTTTGTCTATCAAGGAAGTCTTGAGGCTGATACCGTCACTGGTCCTGGTTACATACAATTCTCTCTTTTCCATTGTTTGTGCTCAACCAAGATAGTATAACAGAATCATTTTCAGACAGCAAGAGTAGTTTTAGCAAAAGAATATGGATACATGGATAATTTCCTAATTCCCCATCGCAATTGAACTTTTAATACATTCTTGATAATTTTGCGAAATTTTTTGACATCTTTAGAGAAAATTCAAAAATGTTAACTGGATGTGAAAATGTAACTGTTAACCATCTGAACTTGTTACCAACGGTAATTGAAAAATTTAAAATGTCGAACGCTGAACCTACTCGAAACCAGACAGTCAACAAATACCAAAAACCAGCTTTCAAAGGACAACCGCAATTAAATGGTCTGCCTCACTTTCTCGCCATAATTTTTCTGTTTAAACACAAATCAAAACGAGCCACTGGACACCATTCGTTAACCCTTGGATACCATGTGGGTGTGGTTGAAATAAGAGGGTTAAAAAGAACTTTTTTAACCCAATTTACTGTTCAAAGCAAAATTTGCCGATGATTTATATAATTATTCATCTAACCTGCCAAGGTGTGAAACTACGAAGTTTTACTGAAGTTCTTCTTCACATAAAGTACAGCAATTCAATTAGTAGTAGCAGTTTTATATAGAAAAATCATCAGTTCGGTAATTAAACATCCAAAAAGCAACGGCGGTGATAATAGGTTCAATTTTACTAAACAACGATTCCACGTATATATATATATCTTACCTTTGGCTACTTGTTGCATTTAATGTCTTAATTGTAACTGGTTCGGTTGACTTTCAGAAGTGCACTGATTTACTCATTAAAAAAACCAGATCAATCTTGTGTATTTCAATTCTTATGTCTCTATTAAATCTTTTTTATCTGCTCGAAAGGACTCAATTGCTCCTGTACTTTCTTATTCTCCTTCGGAATTGCCCTTCTCAATTCCGTTGGCCTTTTGAGGATCTGGTACCTTGGGTGTTCCTCGTTCAAACATTTATTTACCCCCCTTTCCTGATGTACCGATTAATTTCTACCAACCAGGATTAATTTAGCGTGCAATGTTTCTTCCTTCTGACCTTATTGCTGTGACAATAGGCAGTGTCTTTCATTTGAAAAAACCTTTCCATTAGCCAGAGTCAAACAAAAACGAGTTAAAAGCTGTCCGTTTTTGCATTGCATTCCCAGTAACCCATTTATGAAAAGGATAGGTTCAAAAACGGGTCTCAGAGTGGACCAGTTTTGATTGGGAATCTGGGAAATCCGTGGGTGAGTGGAAACGCCAATCTCGGGTAAGTGGAAATGCAAATCCCATTTACAACAAAAAGGCGTTTTACAGCAATTTTTATGGACTATTGTTGGAAATACTGATTTCTCTCACAGCTCTGTGTGCTTTGGTTTCTGTTTATACTTTTCTTAATCTGATTTATCTGAAAAGGAGAAGATACATTTTCAATCTCGATACATTTTAAGCCGGGTTAGTCGTAAAGATAAAAAACGAATTAAAGGTAATGTGTCCAGCTAAAGCAAGTAACTCTACGGGGGTTTTCAGAAACATGTGATTTCACATGTCATCGTCCCAGCCATTACAGTCTTTCTGTTTATCTACCCTGCTGCGAGGTTAGCTTTTCATGTGAGCAGTTTTGCATCGCAAGAATACTAACCAATCGCAAACCGTTATTTTGATGTTGGGTATACGCAGTCCTTTTTTATGGACACATTACCGTTAAGAGTTGGCGTTTCCATTAACTCACTTTAAAAACGGATACATTTTAACCAGTTTGTGTTTTAAATTTGCAAAGACTGTCTGAAATTGAGGCTTGGCGCTCATTTTCTGTAACAATAACAATGTAATCCTTGAACTGCCATTTGCAAAATCAGGCGTTAATCTGAATCGATGTTGTATCTGGATAAATGAATGTACATGTTGCCTGGGTATTCAGGACACTGAGTAAATTTACATATAATCATCCACATCAAGTTAGCTAATTAGATATAAGAAGATATAAGAATGAATTTTCACGTCATGATGGAGTGAAATGGTTGTTCGATCAGCAAATAAATTTTGGATTTAAATTACCTCCTTCAAATCTTTAGATTATGACGGCCCCGAACGTTTCTTCCTCGCATTTGAGATCTCTTTCGCTACATTTTTGACCAGTGAAAAACCCAAACAATAACAGTATTTAGAATTATCAAGGAAGCTATGTTCCTGATTCTAGCAAAAGATCACCAAAAACTCGCACGACGCTGCCTCGCGAAAATTTTATATCAAATTTTTAATGTCTAACTCTTTTGCTCTATAGACCAAAGTGAATCGTGAAAGAATTAGCCAGAATTAGTAAC